ACGGCTGTTTGTCGCTTGTTGCCTCTGGGTGCCTTCCCCGGGCCCACTGGATCATCAAAAAACGAATCAGGATGACGCCAAGAAACCGGCCCTGGGGAAGGGGCCAGGCCTCCCAGAGACCCCGCAGGGGAAAAAAGCTACACCTCGGTGGGACATCCGCAGAGAAACGCCCCGCGCCCGCACGGTCGCGGCCCCGGGGCCCAGCCCGCAACGGCCTTCGCCCGCCCCTCCCGAGCGCGCCGCCAAGCGCCCGGTGAGCACCATGTGCGCCGGGAGCGGGCCGAGGATGCCGGCGACCCGGGCGAGCAGGGTCTGGGCCTCGGCGTGGTGTTCCCCCCGCCCGGAGGTCCTGGCGTTGCACGTGCTGCTCGCTCGTGGCGCGTTCGCCTCAACTTCGGGGCCCGGGGCCCTCACAGGTCGACCCAGCCCGAAGAGTGGCTAATAAAAAAGATAGGGCCCAGTGCTGCAGACGTGACTTGTTCTGTGTGTGTGTGTTCTACGTTTTCGCGGCGTCGGGTATCAGGGCAGAGCTCCGACGATGTGGTTCCTGGGCTTCGGCCCTCGGGACGACAAACTGCCCTCGTGGGTCTCGGATAAAACAAACAGATCGGCGGATGTCTGGGTCGTCGCCCCTCGAGATCAGGCCGTGACGATTTTTGTTCGCTCTGGGCGTGCTGTGCTGGTTCTCGGGCCCCACTGGGCCCTCACGGGTCAATCCGGCTCGAAAAGTACCATATAAAAAACCCAAACCCCAAATGTGACATCTCGCGGGGCTGCAATGGTTTCGTGGCGTCGGATCCTAAGTTCTGCGGATCGGGGCTCAAGGACCGGTTTTCAGACGAGCTACTAAGGACACTCCGTAAATAGCCCGTCTGCAGAAGGCGTTGCACAAATTTTTGAGAGACCAACGGGTGCGCTGCCAGATCTGGAATCGGGCGGGCGACATTGCCTCCCGTGGCGCCCGTGGCCTTCCGTGGCCTCCCGTGGCCTCCCGTGGCTTCCCGTGGCCTTCCGTGGCCCCCCGTTGCCTCCGATGGCCTCCAATTGCAGTCCCTATCCCTGTCCCTATCCCTGTCCCTATCCCTGTCCCTATCCCTCTCCCTCTCATCCCTATCCCGTGTATCCAGATCCCTATCCCCCTGTCCCCATCTCTTTCCCATCAATTGCCTCCCGTTACCGCCCGTAGCCTCCCGTGGTCTCCCGTCGTCTACCGTGGCCTCCTATGGCCCTGTATCCCTGTCACGTTGCCGCTCGTTGCCTCATGTGGCCTCTCTCGGCCTCCCGCTGCTTCCCGTTGCCTCAGGTTGCCTCAGGTTGCCCCCGCGGCCTCCCCTTGCCCCCCGTGGCCTTCCATTGCCGTCTCTATCCCTATCCCCTATCCCTGTCCCTCTATCCCTACCCCTGTTCCTATCCGTATCCCTGCCCCTATCCCTGTCCCTGTCATCCCGATACTTATCCTGTACTCCTGCCCCCTGTCCCGATCCCCCCATAATGGCCCCCCAACGTGACCATACATCGTGGCACCCATCGTAACCGTGTAACACTGCTTAGGGTCTTCTGCAGCGAGGGTGTCATAGTTTGTTGGACGTTCGCGCGACGCCTCGAGAACGCGACTACGACGACGAGGCTGACGACGAGGCCGACGACGACGACGACGACGACGACAACGAGGCCAACGACTACGACGACGACGACGACGACGCCGACGACGCCGACTACGACGACGACGACGACGACGACGACGACGACGACGACGACGACGACGACGACGACGACTACAACGACGACGACGTGCGACGTGCCTTCGGTGCACGACGCGCAGCTATCGCCGCGCCCTCGCGGAGCCGGCCAAGGACAAGGGTAACAACTCCCTGGCTCAGGCTGCGGCGCGCGAAACGCTGCTACCCTCCCACCCCTAACGGTGACCTAAACGTTCGCTCATCACGTGCCCCTCAAACCTTATCCCCTCGGTCCTCCTGCTCCTTCTCCTGCTCCTCCTCCTCCCCCTGCTCCTCCTCCTCCTTCTTCCTCATCCTCCTCTCTCGCCCTCCTCATTCTCCTCTCCCTCGTTGGACAGCGTCCCGCCGATGCCTTCTCCTAACTTGGCCAATACTTCAGGCAATCACCAAGGATGTCTGTGCGTGGTGGCTCATGATGTCAGAAGGTGCCGCTGCGTCGGCGAAGGCGGTGCGGTGCTGCGCCTCGCGACGCAGCAGCGGGCGGCGACCGACGGAGCGCCGCCCGCCCAGGGCGGGCGAGGCACGGGCGGCGGCGGCGGCGGCGGCTGGAGCTGCGGGAGCTTGGCCCCGAGCCCGCAGCCTGCGGCAGAGGCAGCGGCCGGCGCCGCTGCGGAGGCCTCCGACCTAGAGCCAGACGGCGGGGCCGCATGCCCTGCCGCCGACGGCTTCGCGAGGCGGCGCCGACTGGCGGAGCCTCGTCGCGGCCCCGGCCACGGCAAAGCGCGCGCTGCCGTGCCCGCGGCCTCGGCGGCGGCTGCAGCAGCAGCGGCTGGCGGAGGGCTCGGCGAAAGGCGCGCGGCAGCGGGCGCGGCTGCTGCCGCCTAGCGTCGGCCGCTCGTCGGCCGCTCTCTGGCTGCGCGGAGCTGCTGTGCGAGCGGGCGCGGGCGCGTCTGGCGGTCGCGCGCATCCAGCGGGCGGGCCGCGGCGGCTCATGCCTCTCGTGGTCCCCAACGTGGTGGTGCGTTGAGGTCCACCGCGTGGTGCTGGCGGCATTCCGTATGGTCATCCTCACGACCGGGGGGTCCAGGCTTGGTCAGGCCTTGGTCCTGGCCCAGCCCGTTGACTTTGCGTTCGAGAGATGCTGGCAGGGAATGGTCAAAGTTTACCACAGAACAAACAAACAGGTCCTCTTCCATTTCCTCCTCCTCCTCCTTCTCCTCCTCTTCCTCCTACTACTACTTATTATCCTCCTCTTCCTTCTCCTTCTCCTACTCCTCCTCCTTCTCCTTCTCCTGCTCCTCTTCTTTCTTCCCTCCATCATCACCAGCAGCAGAATCATCGACCGTGCTTTCCCAACAAGCGGAGGAGCCAAGAGCAGCACCTGCCGCCTGGAGTTGCAGCATGGCCTGGCCGATCCCGAGCGACTCCCATGATCGGCGGAAGCGGGACGTTGGAGAGAGGGCAAGGAAGGGGAAACAGATGGAAAAAGACCCTGAGATCATAGCGTCACATGTTTTTCACCCTGGGCGTTCTCGCCTTGTTCCGGGTCCCTGGAGCATTACAAATGCGAACGGGCTCGGCACATGCCGATAACAAGATCGGTTCTAGGGCTGCGGATGCGAGTATCCGAGATGTCTCGCAACATCGGATCTCAGGGAAGAACTACAATCATTGTGTTACAATGAGGAAGGCTGGATAAGGAACGCATGGGCTTTTCTGGCCACGGCGAGCCTACATCCTTCTGCGGGGAGCGAGAGAGCGTGCGAGGCTGGCACGGGAGAGCGCTGGAAAGGATACGGTTGGATGCCATCATGGCCCTCTGCCACCTTGAGCAAGGTTTGGAAGTTCGGGAGCAGGCCCCTTGAGCCAAAATGGTCACGGAGCAGGAGGAGGAGGAGGAGGCGGAGGAGGAGGAGGCGGAGGAGGAGGAGAAGGTGGCGACGGAGTGGGACAGCAGCAAGAAGCGAAGGGGCCCATCAGCTGCGGTTGCGGGCTGAAGGCATGTGCCCTCGTCAGCCCTCGGAAGAGCACTGCCCCTGGAGCCGCGGGGAGGGCGGAGCGGCGATCCTACGACCAGCGATCGCTGCGGTCGTCGTCGGCGATCGCGCTGGCGGCAGACGCTGCGGGCTCGGCGGAGTCCCCTCCGAAGAGCACGTAGCCCGTCCTGGGGAGGGGCGCTCTGCGCCGCCGCACGGCAAGCAGTCTTGGCAGGCGGCGCCCCCCCCCCCCCCTCCCCTGTGGAAGCCGCGGCTGGGTCCGCGGTGCGAGAAGGTTATCGACGGCAGCGTCACGAAAAGGTTACGAACATTGAGGTGTAAAAAAACGCCCCTACCCTGGGTTACAAGTGCGTGGTCTGAAAACCTCCTGGGAGCTCCAAAAGGCCAGAGAGCTGCCAGGGCGCCGCGCAACACGCGCGATACGCAGGGTCTACCCTGTCAGCCCACGAGAGGTTCAGCGCAGAGCGCCTCGTAAACCAGGGCAGGGGGGGGCGTTTTCTCCGCCCTTGAGAAAAAGGTTGCAGTCGGACCTAGGCCAGGAAAAAAACATCTTTCAAGAACATGAGACCCTCCGCCAGCCAAAATAAGGAGCATTCGAGGGCACCCTCCCCCAGGATGTACAAGAACATCCAGCAAACACGAAGAACACAAGGGGACCCTCCCCGAACCGACCTCGATCTTATACCCTGGTCCGACTGGATCGATCTCAGAGGCTGTCGAACCCAGAGGCTACGACAAGGTTACGAACAGGTGATCCCGGGGGCGGGCTCCCGAGGGGCCGCGCGGCCACGACCGCGAGTGCGAGTGCGCGGCGTCTCCGACTTCGGCTCACCATCTGATGTGGCGCGCGTCCTCCAGCCGAGCTTCGCCTGAGGATCCCCCCCATTGTGATCCTTCCCCCCCGTCCTTCGGCAAGGACACAGAGACGGGAACTCCTTTTCAAAAACGGAACTCTCGCCTGAATTGCGTGAACAATGGGTTGCTCGTCTTTCAAGGTGGCACGTCCCGCAATGAAAGGGACTCTTGTAGGTGCTTAAGAGGAGACGTGGAACGGGCGAACGTGTTCCAGCAACGTTGATGCATCTTGGGGTCACTCTGGTCCTCTTCCTCCTCCTCCTCCTCATCATCCTCCGTTTCCTCCTCATCATCCTCCTTCTCCTCCTCCTCCTCATCATCATGTTCATCATCATCATCATCATCATCATCATCATCAGCAGCAGCAGCAGCAGCAGCAACATCATCATCATCGTCATCATCATCATCCTCATCATCATCCCTCTTCTCCGCTACCTCCTCGTGCTCCCCCGGCCGATCAGGAAGGATGGCTGGCCGTGGCTTCCTGATTCCGCGCCGTCAGCCCATGTGAACTCTTCGGAGGCACCAGTCGCGCTCGTCGGATGCTGCAGGCCGAGGCATGCCGACGTCGGCGCCGTTCGGAGACCCAGGGGCGGAAAGAACACAGAGGGGTCTGGGGACCCTCTGGGGCCCCAGATCCGCCGAACATCGACGCGCTCCCCAAACACGCCGACCGCAGCGTTCCAATGCGAATGGAATCGGCAAGAAAGATCGGCCAGCGCCCAGACGTGCTCCCCAGTGACCCCTCCATGGCAGGAAGGGCCGCGGGGCCCCTGCCTCTCTGCGCCCGTGGCCTGCCCAATCCTGCTCGGACGATCCTTCTGGGCGAGCCGCGAACGTCCAGCCACACCACCCCCCCTTGCCACCTGACATACGGTCGGGAGCTTTTGCTTAGCTTGTCTTGGTGGCGGCCCCGGCGACACGCCGTGCCCTGCGAGCGGATAGCCTGTCGCTCTGCCTCGCAGGACCGAGTTCGGGACGCTGGCGCTCGGAAATGGAGACGCGGTTAGCGTGTCGCGCCGAAGCGTGGTGCTGGGCCAGAGCCGGCGGAGCGACACGCTGAGAGAAAGTCCCCCACCGTATGGGGAGGCAGAGGAGGAGCGGGGGGAGGTAGTCGGATGGTGCTGGCGAAAACTACGAAATCAGCTGCAAGAATGTTGACTTTGATTTGCTCTCTGCGTATGTGCCACCAGGCTACATCTGATGACCCCGTTTCAACGGGCATACGCGAGGACACCGCGAAGCGACTAAATCAAACAGTCGCACTTGACTACGCTTTCAGCTCAAAGCGTGACGGGACCTCTCTTTCAAAATTTGTTCAGCACGACCGCCGCTGCTTGGCCCAGAAGTCGCTCCGCCTGCGCACCATGCAGGAACCACTGGCAGGATGCCACGCATGTGCGGAAGCCAGGACATCCGACGATCTGAGTCTTTCAATGCGCGGCCATGGAGACCGCGACCCCTTTCCTGGGGCCAGCTTCTCACCCAAGGGGCCTGACAGTGGGCCCCCGAGACCCCAAAATCGAGGAAGAATCAGATCGCCGGGGATTCGGGGAAGCCCGATGTGGTCCACGCCCGCTCCGCGAAGCAGGAGCACCTCCTACATATATATACACAGCTCCTTGCCCCGTGCTCGAGGACGCGGCCAGCCCTGTCTATGGGAAGACCTCTCGCGAGCGGCCGGCGCGGCCCGCCCGCGGTGCCAGCGGTGGGCCCTTCCGCCGAGCCCGCTGGCACGCCAGGCGCCGGACTCAGGAGGAGCACAGGCGATTCAGAGGTGGGGCCCCGAGGGACGGGGGCCCTGGGGGTCCGCGGGGCAACGAGAGGGGGGGGGGGCCTGGCACAGGGAGGGGACATCGACCTGGAATCGGCGATGCATCGCCGATAGATCTGCGATAGGCTCCCGACAGCGAAACCGCACGGTCCTGGGCGGGGTGGGACTATCAGAACCCTGTCGGCGATCAATTGGCGATGGGGGGTCGATGCATCCCCCCTGTGCTTATCCCCTGCGATCGTTGCCCCTGAGGAAAGTAGGGGGTCCCAGGCCGAGTTGACGCTCCCTGAGGCCCCATCCCTCCAGCAGGGCTCGAGCTAAACAGTAGTGTGTTTGGTTTTAGTGTTGTGTTCGGTTTCCCTCGTTCTGTCTTCGTTCCGCCTTTGCTGCAAAACGAAATCAAAACGAAAACGGTCCACAAAATCGCCAAAACACCGTTTAGCCCCAGCCCTGCCCTCCAGGCCCCATCTCTGAGCCACCAGTGAGGAGGAGGGGGGCATGGGCGGGAGGTGGGAGCCAAGAGGCGGCGTATGGCAAGGCTTCGGGCTGCGCACAGACAGCTCCCCCCAGGTAGTCCCGGCTGGACTCAACAGGCCCCCCGAGAAGTCCCAGCTGGCCTCAACAGGCCCCCGAGTGCAGCCAAACCGCATAATAAGGACGCGCGATGAGGATGCAAGAGCCTTGGAAGGCCATGTCGACACTTTGCGAGCGGGGCGCGGCCGGCGAAAGCGGCCAAGGATAAGCCGAAGGCGAAGGATGCAAGGGTGACCTTGGAAAGTTACTCATCCTTGCGATGCTGATTGACCGTAGTCCCAGCTGGCCTCAACAGGCCCCCTGAGTAGTCCAGAGCAGTCACGACACCACAGCACCGCCTGCGGTTGGGGTGCTGAGACCGCCCTGGACTAGGCATGTTGAGGCCAGCTGGGACTATTCAGGGGGCCTGTCGAGGCCAGCCAGGGGGCCACTTGGGGGGGTGGGGTCCGCACGCAACCCGAAGCCTCACCAAGGTGGTGTATGCACAGCTCGGGGGGGCGGGAAATCTACGCGCGGCATCCAGCCAGCATCCGCTGGAGGGCATGCGCGCACGCACTCGTCCCGCGAGGCAAAATCTAAACAGTTCTGCGAGGGCACGCCTGCAGGGAGCGGGCGTGTCGACCAGTATTCGCGACCCTCTGGGGGGGGTACTGCTGGCGGCGAGCCCAGGTGAAAGGCCGGTGGGCGGGGCTCCTCATCACGAGCGGCGAGCGTATCCATATCCACGCCCTCGCGGTCTGGCTTCTGGGGTGCGATCCCGCGGTCGCACAAAAATACGTTCCTCGCGGGGGCATCCGCGAAAACACGCCACGTATCTGCGGGGTTCTGGCCCAGGGGCCCGGCCCGCGAGGCCGCGGATATGGATATGCTTTTCGCCGCCCCAGAAGGCTCAGAGGGCCTGCGACCTTCTGAGAATATTGCCAGGCCTTCTCCGGAGAGGCAGACGACTTCTGAGAAGCCGACGCCCCGCCTCCTTCTGAGAAGGCCTGCCCCCTCTCGCTTCCTCACTAGGCGCGCCGCCGATCTTGGTCCGCTAGGGGGTTGGGGTGTTGGGGGCGTCTCGGGTGCGCCAAAGGAGGACTTGCCAGGACGAGGGAGGGGGGGCATCATGGCAGGACGCATGTGCGCGGCCCGAGGGGGAACCCAAGGGACGTGTTGAGAAAAGCAGGGGGGGGCACGAAATCTGGGAGATTCCATGACCCCGGCCATTCTATTCACACTCCCCTAATCATCACCCTTCTTCTTGGACGCCCTCGAGCATTCTCCCTCCGTGGGGCGCCCTGCATGCAAGCCGGGAAAATTGTACAAGCCGTACGAACTCGCGACAGGAAGACACTGGAAGGGGGGTGGGAAGCGGGAGGAAGATAGCGATAGATCGTTTAAGTTCCCTTGGGCTTCAAATAATTCGACTACCTGTGTAAAGTGCTCTAAGTGGTGCCCGTGCGGCCGTTGCCACTGGGCACGAAGAGTGCTTGAAACCTGCGTGTGCCAGACTGCCAGTGTGCGCCACCCCTCTCCTTTCCCGCTCCGCCGCCGCCCTCGTCTGTCCCCCGCCCGCTTGTGCACCACTCGTCCTGTCGCGCCCCCGCGTGGGCCCCGACCGCCTCCGTGCGTCCGCCAGCGCCGCGCCGGAAGGCGCGTGCCAGACTGCCAGCCTGGTGCTGGCGCCCCCTGCGGCAAAGGCCTCGACGGCCTCCAGAGGCAGGAGCGCAGCGGGCCACCTGTGCGAGAGGGGAATGCCGCCCAGGTGAGCGCAGCTTATGCTCAGCTCGAGCTCTCGACCAGCGTCGCGGCGTACTCCGCGCGCGCCGGCGGAGCTGCGGCACGGCACCCCTGCAACCTTCAGAGGCAGGCAGCGACGCGACGCAGCCACGAGAGCCCCTTCTGAAGGCGTGCCTGCGCAGCCTCGCCTCGCCTCGGCCTCCGCCGCTGCTCTGCGCCCTCCTCCCGCGGCCCGCCTCAGGCCTCCGCCGCCGCCCTGGGGGGGCGGCTGCCGCTGCCGCCCTCGGCATCACTGCGGGAGGAGATGGACGACAGGACGATCAGCCAGAAGAAGGACACCAGCGCAATGAAGGGTATCCGCCACTGCGGCGGCACCACGCCGAAGGTCAAGCACTGCACTGGCCCCCAGATCAGCCAGTACTTGACCAGGAGGTCGTTTCCTGCATCCTCGACGTACCGTCGCATGCCCGCGGGGACGTCGGCGTTGAGCGTCAGCGCCTTGATCAGGTACGCCACCGGCAGGCAGAGGAAAGGCGTCAGCACGAACTGGTCGAACAGGACCTTCTCAGATACGGTCAAGAGGTCCTGCCCCTCGCCGAACCACACGGGATAGCACACGTTGAATATAAAGTACTGCGCGCATCCCTGGTAGAGGCCCCCATACAGGAAGAACGCCAAGGTTCGTCTCCAGCTGATTGCCTCCAAGGGATTGTCGGTGCTCTGGGCTTCACGGGCGCCGGCCGCTGCCGGCGCTTCCCCAGGAGCCTCGCCAACGGCCTGGTCTTCCATCGCCATCTTCTCGCCCTTCTGCGCCAGAAGGTCCGAGGCGGTCGCCTTCATCGAGGCGACGGCAAACGCCGACTGGTAAGGCTGCGTGCTAAACCAAGTGTCGACGGACTCCAGCAGGGCCATTTCGCCGCCGGCCTGAGGGCCAACTATCAGGGGGGGGGCAGATCAGGGTAAGGGAAACATCGGCCTGGAATCGGCGATGCGTCGCTGAAACATCGGCGATGGGCCCCCGACAGCGGATCTGCACGTTCCATGGCGGAGTGGGCTGCCTGGCCCATGTCGGCGATCGATGGGCGATTTCGGATTCGATGCATCCACCCCTGAGTCCATCCCCCCTCAATGGTGTTCCTTGGTTTTCGGGTCAAAGCGTCCGTCCGACACCCCCCGAACGCTGTCGGCGAGGCGTAGCCGCTGGAAGGCCGAGGCTGGAAAGCCGCCGAGAGCGTTCGAAAACGTCCCCCCTGAGCCTATCCCCTCCTAACCCAGACATGCGATGTCCTGATTTTTTTCCACGCGGGGTTCCCGGAAATCCCGACCCTTTCCCGATGGCCGGTTTTTCTTCGCGAGCCATTTATAAGGGCCCAGCGAGGGCCCATGGAGACCGTAAATAGCAAACGCTCAACAAATAAGCATGAGCAGCAACAAAGCAACAAACAAAAAGTCCGCCGTGATTGTTTCACGACACTGGATCTCTGGTCCCAACGTTCGGGGATCTACTGACCCCGGGTCAGTCAGGCTTTGCAATATCAAGCAAACTCCCGCAGGATCCTGCAGGATCCTGCGCGCTGGCCCGGGTCAGTGCGCCCCTGACTCTGCAGGATCCCGCAAGATCCAGGGCCCTGGCTGACCCCCGCTTGCATTGACCCTTGTCCCCAGGCTCCCGACGTCGTGATTTTCTCGCAACGCCGATCCCCAGGTCGAGGCCTCGGCCCCTTCTCCGGGACCGGTTTTTCATCCTGAGTCGTCTTCTGACGGCTCCGAGACCCGGGACAGGGCCCCGGAGGCCGAAGACAGCGAAAAGCCTCCCGCCGCGAGTGTCTCCACAGAACGAGGAGGGGTCTGGGTCGCAAGGCTCCCGACACGTTGCCCCCGGAGCAGGGCCAGCTCGCCGGCCGCCCGCGCCGTCGCCGCGCGCCGCCGGCCGGCGGCGCCCCGGGCGCGCCCGGGGCGGGCGCGCCTCGGGGCGGCGGGGCCGAGGAGTGCGCGGCCGGGGAGGCATTGTCCGGGTGCTGCCGAAGAGGCGGCCCTGGCCGAGGGGCGCACAGTCAGTCCGTGTGGTTAGGTTGCTGCTGTAGGGTTGCCAAGAGCCTTGGACGCCCACGTCGAGGCTCTTCGAGCGGGGCTGGCCATCGAGTGGTGGAGGATGGACCAAAGATGACCGAAGAGGCAAGGATGCAAGGGTAACCTTTGGGAGTCGATCATCCTCACTATCTGGGCCCAGGGCGTAAGACGGAGCCAGGACGAGGACAAATTCGGGGGAGCAGAAGTCGGGAGGCTCTGAGATCTGGCGGCTGCAGAGGATGTCTAAGGCGCCGCGGCCTTCTCAGAGCGAGACGGAGAAGGCCCTCTCAGAAGGCGGCTGGGCTTCTCAGAGGCCCTCGCGCCTTCTGAGAAGTTCCTTGCGACTTCGGGGAAGGCCCGGAAAGATTCTCAGAAGGCGGGGGGACTTCCGAGCCTTCTGAGAAGGCCCGCCCCTTCTCATGAAGAGGTGGTCCTGGCCCAGGGCGTAAGGCGAAGCCTGGAGGAGGATAAATTCGGAGAAAGAGAAGTCGAGAATCTCTGAATCTCTGAAATCTGGCGGCTTCGGAGGATGTTTCGAGCGCCGCGGCCTTCTCAGAGCGATCCGGAATCCGGAACGCTCTGAGAGCGTTCTGGAACGCTCTGGAACGCATTTATCCTTGCCCTAGCCCCGTTCGACCAGCCCAGGGCGTCCCCCCAGACATCCAACGCCTTGCGCAAAGTTCAGCACGAAGGTGCTTCGTTTTCAAAGTCTGGGGGCCCTGGCTGGGCCCTGGGGCCGACAAAACGACCCAGGAAAAAAATAGACCTGGGGAAAGCGTCGAGACTTCTGGGGACCCCGTTTTGAACAAATCAAGACATCGGATGCCGAGGCCAAGATTATGTCGCACCAGTTCGGAGACCAACTGGGCGCTCTGGGCCATCTGGGCCTCTGGAGGCCATCTGAGCCTCCTCGGGATCCTGGGGACACCTGGGCGACAACGAGAAACAGGCCTCACGCACGATGAAGGAGCGACCTTACGCGGTGGCGTACGCGGGCCGCCAGCGCGGCACGCTGCACTGAAACCGAAGGCGCGTACGCGCGGCCTTACGCGGGCAGCCTACACGCGAGTGTACGGGCAATCGGCCCTGTTTGTTCCCGTCGCTCATCGGGGCCTCCCCGGAAATCCTGGGGACACCTTGGGGCACGGACGCCTTTGGCAACACCCGAATCGTGAGAGCAGGGCGAAGGCTGCCATTGCCCAGCAGTAGTGCCTCGCGCGCCCCATGACCCTCTGCGGTGCCGTGGCCCTTCCCAAATCTCCGACGAGTTTGGCTTTTTCCATCCGCGGGCTTCTCCTCGATATCTCGGGGGTGTCCAAGAGGGGGGCGTCCAAAAGGGGGGGTCGCAAAGCATGGCCCGAGGCACGTGCGCGGCCGAGGGGTGACCTGGGGACGTCCGAAAAGGAGAAGAGGCGCTCTGAAGTCTGGGGAGCTATCATGACCTCCGCCATGATACCCACCTTCCTATTCATCACCGCCCTCCTGGCCGCCCCCGAATCTCGGTCCTCGGGAACCGTTTTCGGGCCCTGGGGCCGTGAAAAGCGGGCCCCGGACGAACAAAACCACCCCTGGGGGCGGCGGTCGGGGCCTTCTTGGGGCCGAGGACTGGACAAGCCACCTCGGCGGATGCCTGGGCTTGCCAGCCAGCTACGAGTGCGGGAGCTGTGCTCCCCACCCCCCCTGGTGAGACCCATCGTGTCGGCGATCTCTCTCTCAAAGGGGGGGGGGGGGCCGAAGCCGATGGGTCTCCCAGGGGGGGAGGGGACACGGCTCCCCCCCCAAGATGTGCCTGGCCTGCCTTTCGCGGGCGCACACCGAGCAACGGAGCCAAAACGGCTGCGGACCTGCTGTGTACAACCGCGGCCGGACCTAGGACAGAAGAGCATCCTTCAAATCGGCGGCGAGGGAGGGGGGGAAGTGAGAAGGAGAAGGCCGTCTCAGGAGGCGGCGGGGTTTCTCAGAAGCCCTCTGGCCTCCTGAGAGGTTTTCTGCACCTTCTGGGAAGCCGTAGGAGACTTCTCAGAAGGTCGGGGGACATCCGAGCCTTCTGAGAAGGTCCGCCACTTCTCACTTCCCCCCTCGCTCGCCGCCGATAGGACAGAAGAGCATCCTTCTAGAACATCCGACCCTCCGCCGGCCAGACCGAAGGTATCCTCCCCCAGGATGCACAAGAACATCCAGCAGACACGACGAACATCTGGATACCATCCCCGAGCCAGCCTCGATCTTAGACCTCGGTCCGACTGTACTGGGTGCAGGCTCAAGAGCGGGAACCCTGCAAGAACAAGATGAAACGAACCTTGACCACGCAGGATCCTGTGATCGTTGCACAAGGTCGACAGTGCAACTTGCGCGTCATGCCGAATCGAAAAACGGACGGGTTTGCTGACACACACACACACACACAAGTCAACCAACCCGCATGTGACAAGACAGGGGTCTGGAAACATCGAGCACGAGCCAATGCTTCACCGTAGCAACATGCGGCAGCTTCGTGTTCCTATCGTGTGGACGCGGACGTTTGTCCGACAGCGCAGGTCGTTCGACATCGATCAATTCTGGGCCACTGGCGGCGTTTAGCCTAGGCCGCCCACGCTGGAGTCGCCGCCGCGTCGACACGGCGCGAACGTGCTGTGCACCCGCCTGGCGCGGACGAGGACTGGAAGGATGGGTCAGATGACGAGGGCGAGGAGGAGGGAGGGCGGCAAAGAGGTGGAAACCCCTGGCCTCCGACGCCCTCCTTCTTCACCGCGGCCTGGACCCCGAAGGTCTGGACCCCTCTCCCCGGGGCCGGCCTCTCCTCCCGAGTCGTTTTTTCTGGAGGCCCCGGCGCTCTGCCTGAGGGCCCCCGCGGGGGCCGAAGCTGGGGGGAAAAACTTCCGCTCACGTCGCCAGGCAGGGGTGGACCGAAACGGTGCTTTGGCGATCTCGTGGGCCGTTTTCGTCTCGACCTCGTTCTGCGGCAACGGCGGACTGAAGACAAAACGAGGGCAAACAGAAACAAAACGAAAACGAAAACCACCGTTCAGGTTCAGCCTTGTCGCCAGGACGTCTGGGCCGAGACGGCGGCCACCGGAGGAGGGCCAGTGGAGACCACGGCGCCTCTCCCGCCTGGCCCAGCTCCGATAGCAGAGTCCATCCCCAGACACCTCCCAGGTGTGCGCCCTATAACGGGCCAGTCGAGGCGGGTCCGACCGTGGCCACGAGAAGCAGGGAGGGCCACGGATGTCTCGGCTGGCCCTCCTCCTCCTCCGCCTCCGCCTCCTCCTCCTCCTCCTCCTCCTCCTCCTCCTCCTCCTCCTCCTCCTCCTCTCCCCCCATCTGGCCCAGACATCTGATGTCTTGTTGTTTTTTTTACTGCGGGGTCTTCAGCGAGGTCCCGCCCCTTCCCCAGGGCCGGCTTTTGATCCCGAGTGCTTGTTCACAGTCCTGAGGCCCGGCGAGGGCCCCCAGAGGCCGAAAGCAACGAAAAGCCTCCATTTCGATCTGTTCAAGATGTTGGATGTCTAGGGCTGGGCTTCCACATCTTCGCTGTGCACTTGCTCCGGCACGCACATTCAAGAACTTCACGCTCTGAACGTACTCCCCTCCGTTGCCGTGCGCTTCTTCCCCCCCTTCGCCTGCTGTGCCCAGTTCGGCCCCGTTGCATCCCACGGCTGCCCCCAGACGCGGTGAGGACTCTCGCCGCTACGACAAACATGTCTGGGACTGGCCTTCCCCTGGGGCAGGGAGGAGCAGTTGGCGAGGCCCCGCGGCCGTCCACAGCTCCGCCAGGACGCAGCCCAGGGACCAGACGTCCACCCTCTGGTCGTACGGCAGGCCCAGGATGACCTCCGGCGCCCGGTAGGAGCGCGACTGCACGTAGGAGGACCTCGGCGCGCCGCCGCGCACAACCCCAGATTTCCGAGGTTCGAGGTCCGAGGTTTTCGGATGCGGCTCTCGTCGGCTTCCCAGCCTCGGGATGCCCTCCAGCGGCTGCGCTTCGCCGAGAGCGCTCCGGGGATGCAAGATTCGTCCCGAACGGCCGCCGAAGGCCCGAGTTATGACCCGGAAAAAAAGCAGATGTCCGACGATACAAATGTTTTTCTTCGATTTCCTGTGACCATCAACAGTGGGTGCGGGGCGAAAAGCTGGCCCAGGCGAAGAGAGGACGGGACCTCTGGGGCCACGCATTGAGAAAATCATGTCGGAGGATGTCTGGGACTCGGGGAGGGTCGGCAGCGGAGGGCTGGACGTCGCCGATAGATCGGCGGCAAGCAGTCAATAATGAAGCCAGTAGCCGCACGATCGTGGGCGGGGGTGGTGCACCCGAGCCCCGGCGGGCGATGAGTGGGCCGCGTGGGGTCGGTGGTTCCCTCCTTAGACCAAGCCCCTCCCCCCAGTCGCTGCCCGTGAGCCGCGCGCAACGGCGCCCAGCCGCGCGCATGCGGCGGATTCTTGTCGTGACGACCTGCGAGGCTCAGGGTTTTTGGGGGGGTGCGTTCCAGCGGCTGCGCTTCGCCAAAAGCGTTCCGTGTTGCGGAGGGCTATCCCAAGCCATTTCCAAACCCCGCGGGCACAAAACGTTAGGACACCAGCCCCCCCAGGTGACGCCCACTACGCCTGGAGGACAAAAACGAAAACTGGGACCAGCGTCAAGCTTGCTCCTATCCTAAGACGAAGAGAATGGTGATAATGACGACGACGATGGCGATGACGACGGCGACGATGCTGACGACGTGGATGGTGATGATGATGATGATGATGACGATGATGACGATGATGACGATGATGACGATGACGATGATGATGATGATGATGATGATGATGATGATGATTTTTTAAAAAACAGAATCGGGGCTCAAGGGGAGGGGTAACTTGGGGTCAGCACTGGAGCCCTCTGCCCGCTGCGAGAGCGGATGTGCACCACGGAGCACTACGCACACCGTGCACGGGGCAGCAGTTGCCCAGCACAGGTGCGATCTGCGGGGCGCGCCGCCGCAGACCCTGACGCTAAAGAGACACAAGCACAGCCGAGGACGAGCAGAGAGGGCGGAGGGACGGAGGGCGGCGGGGCACACGAGGCAGGAAAAGAGGAAACAGCGGCTGTAGGGGCAAGCCTTTCTCAGAGCTCGGCGGAACGACGTGAGCCAACTCACCGCGTCACCGCTGAGCTGAAATCAACACCGCGATGAACTCAGTACAAAGCGCTAATCATCTAGAACTCATGCCGCCAGGTTCGCTTCCATCCATTCGGTCCACTCCTGCAGCTCCTCCTCCATGTAGCCCGCGGGTGCCGAGCCGCGCAGATGACGGCCTCCGCATTGGCGTAGCCCGTCGATCAGGCCGAAGCGTCGGTCGCCGAGGTTCTGGATGCCCAGCACGATCTTCATCTGGTCCTCCTGGGCCGTCTTCTGGAGACGGCAGACGCGCACGAGCTGCTCCACGTCCTCTGCCTTCTCGCACTTGTTGATGTCGTCGGACAGCGTCTTGATCTTCTTCAGGTTGTCGCCGCCGCACGCGTCGATCGTCGCTGCCGCCTCGACCAGAGCCGCGAACAGCAGCGCGCGCGGGGGGCCGAGGGGCTCGGTCATCGGGTTATTCTCCTTTTCTTTGCGGCACTCGTCGACGCGCAGGACGAAGAGCTCCTGCTCCTCCTGCATCTTGGACACCAGCTTGTGGTTCTTCGGGAAGATGAACGTGTCTAGCAAGATGCGCTCGATCACGCGTACCTTCTGCGTGTTGCTCAGCGTCTGCTTGAGTACGAGTAGCAGTAGTTCTCGGAGTCCCTTGTCCTTGACTTGAATCACCTTCTCTGGCTTGTCGCCCTTGTTGCGTCTCTTCCCGCCTCGCCGTGTCGCCTTCGGAGCACCTGGGGGGACTCCTCGCTTGTCGCGTACTGCGGCTCCGCCACCAATCCCAGACGGAGGCGGGGATGCCAGCGGGCGCCAGGCTGGCCCCATCAGAAGCCGAAGAGAAAACGGCCGCGCGTGGACGAGGCGGGGCACGGGTTGAAGCAGCTCGCGTAGATGAAGGTGCTGGGCGGGCGCCCGGCGTGGGCCGAGCTGACACTTGTCGAAGTTCGCGTACTGTCCACGGCCGCGCAGAGAAATGAACAGGTATATGAGCGCGCAGGTGGGTACGAAGAGCATCAGTAGAGCCAAATGCTGACGGAGATGACGACGGCAATGATGTAGTGGCGGTAGTCGGAGCTTGGCTCTGTGTAGTTTTGCTTCGTATTCGTGACCGTACAGGCGCTGATTTGGCTCGTGCTGCTTGCTTATGTTGACCCTGATCGTACGGCTGGCTAGCTATTCTGGCTGATGATGCTGATGTTTGCGGTAATGAAGCTGATGAGGTGCTTGCTGCTGCTGCTGATGATGAACGTTGGTTTGTAGTTCGGCTGGCTGTAGGCTGGCCCGCTCTTGTCGGTGTAGCTGTAGACGATGAAGGCCCCCAGTGGGCCCTAAGGGGGGGGGTGATCCAGACGGCCATAATCGTCGTTCCCGCGAGGCGGCAGAGGCCCTGGGGGAAGAAGAGGTGAGGGAACGTCTTTGCAGATCGGGCACTCAAGGCAGTCGGGGGGCCTGTACTGCCACAGCTGCGCCGTGTTCTGGCGCACGCAGCGACGGGCATTCCACCCGCGAAGAAAGTGACGTGCACAGTGATCACGGCTGCGAAAGACGGTGTGGCATATCAAACATTTGTTATCCACAACCAGGAGACTGAGTACACTGCGCATCATGTGGCTGGGCTCCTTGCTGTGCGTCTGATGTGCACGCAGCGCCGAAAGAGAGGTAAAGGTGCGACCACATTTCGATCTATCCTTCATCTTTATCTCGCACGTATGAAGCTTCTCGCCGTCGATACCTGTGATCTCTCCCTCTAGCGGCATCTGTTCTGCTAGTGGTGCACCGTGAGGTCGCCACTGTTGAGAGAAAAAGCCAGCTCTCAGGGTGCGGGGGTCGATGGCTGTGTACATGTCGCGGATCTCCTCGTCCTCCAGAAGCCGCTTGATACTTCTCGGGTGCCACATGTCGCGTAATTCAGTAGCCAGATCAATGGTAAGTAGAATCTCGATATCGTCGTGGAGCTGCTTGGCCCAAGGGTGGACGGGGGCATTCACGTTGATCACCCCTTGATCGTCCAAGATCGGCACATTCATTTTGGCTGCACCTTCGAGGGCCAAGTTGCCGAAGAAACCGACTAGGAAGTGAATATGCTGCGGAATATCCGTAAGAATGTCGCGCCACCAACATAGTCGTCGCACCGTAAGTTCAAGCGCAACTGGTGTCAGCTTCCAATATCGCCAGACGTTAAGAGAGGGCCAGGAACGATGTATGCCGTGGGCCTCAGTGCGAGCACGACCCTGGAGCATAGAGCGAAGCTTCCCAATCAAGTTGGAGTCGAGGGCCTGAAAGCCGGCCTTGGTGCACAAGTAGCTCTCTCCTCCAGACGTGGCCGCGCTGTGGACACATCCTCCGAAAAGAAGACGCTTGGGTTCCCAGCCAGCCTCGGAGTGCCAAAAGCCACTCAACTGATTCCAGGCGCGGTTGATAGCACGTAGACGTTCAGCACGCTCAGCGACGTTGCTACCAGATGCAGAGAACATGCCGCCAAGGTGCTTCCGTTCAGGTAACAGCTTCCCCACCAGACGTCGATCTGTCGCCAATTTGTGTGTGATACCACGACGAGAGGCGGCGACGACGATCTCGGCCTTGGTGCGGTTCTGCTTGTACTCTTTTTCCTCGCCGCTGGTGTTCAGGCACTCGGCGTCTAAGTTGCTCACGTCGCGGATCTCGTCTGCTGTTGCCTCAGGTGGTAGGGCCAAGAGCTTCAGTAAGTCATCAATGAAAAACCCAACACCAACGTTGACGGTGTCGTGAAACATTTCTGAAGATGCCAATGTGAATTTAGAGAAGCCGCTGGCGGTGGCGATGTACTCAGATATACTTTCGCAATAATTGCCCATGAAGAATTCTGGTTCGTTGCTGTCGCCCATGAGGCCATCACTGCCAGCTTTGAGGTATAACCGGCCCTGCGGAGAAGAGATGCGCATAACTGCGTGATAACGACGCTGAGCTGTGAAGTCCATGTTGCCTTGAATGCGTCGCTGCATCTCGTCGGGCTCGCCTAGGTCGACAAACTTCTGTAAAACGCGATTGCCAGCGATGATCATGAGGTCATCCAACTTCCCACTCTGAAAAGCAGCTCTTTGGTCATAAGATTTAGCAACCAGGGTCCATTTACATGCGCGTACACGATGAGCGACCACGCGTGATAAACACATCATTGCTTCCCTTCTGCGCTTGCTAATGCCACCGTACGCCCACTCAGGAGATTCGCATGGCCCGCCCTCGTGGTTCGTGATACGTCTGAAGAAACGCCGCCACCATGGGCAGAAACAATGAAGGAGACGAAGGCCAGGTGGTCCAGGGATGGCTTTCCTCTTGTCCAAAGCGAACGTCTGGCTCATGTTAGCCTGGTTGGGCGTGGCAAGAGTGGCACGAGCATGCGCATGTAGATCAGCGAGGATCTTCGATGCCTGAGTGTACTCGTCCAGGGGCAGCTTTCTTTTAGAGGGGTCGGGCGGGTTCTCGAAATCCATGGGGTCGAAAGCCATGAATAATCCCAGTCCTGCCGTCTGCGCTCCTGGCTTGCTGAGAATGCACGGGTCGGTCATGATGAGGTATATCTCCGTAGGTAAACTCCAGCATGGTGCGAATTTAAGCCTCTTCATTTTCCACAAATGTTTGCGAGTCTCGAAGAAATCGTCTTGGCCTAGGAACAACTCTTGGATGCCTATCGCGACCGCGGGTCCTTCGGGCCGCGGGGGTAGCACAATTGGTTCGTCTGGACGATGCGCGACTGCAAGTGCTGGTAAGATATCGTCGTCGTGAAGTAGACTAGCAGAAAACCCTCCATCACAGCCAGGTAAAGAAAGGAAGTCAATCCATTCGTCTTTGGACGGTTGGCACGACGGAAGTGACCGAAAGTCCCGTTTGCGAACGCCGATACCCCTGTGTGCTCTCCTTCGCGCAGCCGAGTGCATGTCTGCCAACTTGCGATGAGCCCATCCTTCACGAATCTGCTGTTCGAGGTCACGGTCAGCTTCAGCTCGTATATGTTTAAGATGTGCGTGCAGTACCTTGGTGAGTGCCTTCACCTCGTCGCGTGCTGCGTCAGGAGCGTCGACGTGAAAGGCTGAGCGCTTGGCGATGGCCAGTTCCTTGAGCAGGTCCAGTCTTCGCCTCATCGCTTCTCTGTACCAGGACGGCCGCTCAGACACCAACGAGAAGCGCTTGGTCGCGACTTGCCTGCAAACGGCGACGAAGAGGTACATGTGTCTGTCTGGGTTCGGGTCGGTGCGTACCTCTTGAAACTGCTCTTGGTACTGCTCAAGCTTCTCACGGAGATCACGAAGAAAGGGCTCACGTCCATGTCCTTGTTGGAGGCAGCCCATGATCTTAGGCCAGCTCCAGCTGCTGCGAGTAGTTTGATCGTGTCCAGGGCAGGGTAACAGAAGGCGTGCAACGATGGGGATGTGGTCCAAGAAAAACTTGCTCTTGCGAGTGCGTCTCGCCGTGGTAAGCCAGCGCCTGCACGTGGATTCCGCCAAAAGAGAAGACGGGATGAAAATGAAGTCGATCGTCGTCGCTCCACTGTGGCCGATGAAGGTGGGGCCCACCTTGCGGTGGGTGTTGACGGCACCCATGTCGTGGTCCAGCAGCAGGTCGTGCAGAGCTTTCCCGTTCTCGTTCTCGTTGCCGTTGCCAAAAGGGCCGATGCATTCGTCCTGGTAAATCTGCTGCCCACGCATGCCCATGCCAGTGTTGGCGTCCATCATGATGAGGGGTGCGCGACGATACGGGCAGTTGCGTAACAATGTGTCTAACCAATTTCGAAGTACTTGACAACCCTTGCGCCAGCTTGGTCGAGCTTTCGCAGTGCGAGGGCGTGGCTCGAAATACAGAACAGCCACGCGTAGACAGAGTGGTCCCTGGTCAATGTCGATCATGCCGCCTCTGCCCGCGACGATGTTGGGCGGCACCTCAATGGCTGTAACTGATGAGCTCCTGATGCGCTCGCCCAGGATGATGCTGCAACCCGCGCTTTTGTTCGTGCATGCTGCAGGTTGCCAAGGGAAGTGGATGATGCTGTGGTACGGCGTGCTCTCTCGTGTGTGTACTGGTCGAGGATCACCTCGTGCGAATGCCTGTGGTCGTCGTCGGCATGTTCCCGTCAGGCCTCCCACCGCCACGCTGCGGTACGCCAGGCTCAGCTCCTGAAGTCTCGACGGCTGGAGGCTGCCCACGTTGTGCGCGAGCACGGGAAACGCACAAAGGAGACCTTTCGCGCCGATCATGGGCGCGCAACCCCACGGCTCCCGTGGCGGCTCATGGCAGGCGCGAGCGAAGGGGGCTCGGTCTGACGCGCGGAGCCGTGCCGTCGCTGGAAAGAGCCAGTGCGGCTTTGATGATGATGATGATGATGATGATGATGATGATGATGATGATGATGATGATGGTGATGGTGGTGGAAGTGGTGATGAGGAGGAGGAGCAGGAGGAGAAAGACAATGATGATGACGACGACAATGACGCGGAGGAGGATTCCAGATGATGACAAATCTGTGATCTCTGAAAACTAGCGGACCTGGAGGATGTACCAGGCGCCGCGGCCGTTTCAGAGCACTCAGGAACGCTCTCAGAAAGTTCTGGGCCGCTTCATCCAGGGGCGTGCTCTCAGTAGCTGGAGGAGCCCCTGAGATCAGTACCGAGATGCGGAGATGTGGACGCTTCGGGCTGATGATCTCGGCTGCTGCCAAAGATGCTCCTGGCCCAAGGTGTCCCCAGGATTCCCAAGGAGGCCCCCACGGCCTTCAGAGCACCCCTCTCAAGGCCAAGACGGCCCCAGTGGATCCAAAATAGCGCGAAAAGCTCGGAGACCCCCATGACACGGCCACCTCCCCGCCTGTCCCTGCCCCTTCCGCCGACCCTCCCAGACATCCACGCGGGGGACGCGCGCCAACCACCGCCATCGGAACCAGCTGAGACCCGAGAGATGGTCGAGCTGGCGGCCATTGTCGTGACACCCTGCGACGTATCCAACCCATCTACACTGAACACAACAGTTGGCCGAAAACCCTACTGAGTATGACATGGCAAGGACCGCCATTCGTTGTGAATGCTACATGGGATGCTCACGCGCTGCAGGACTCACAGGACACCGACAGGAGGGCGAGGGCGGCATGGAGGTAGCGAAACCACAGGCTCGAAGGGGAAGGAGGCCGAAAAGAGAAAGCGGATGGGGAGGGCGAGAGGCCGCCGTGGCAGCAGCGAGGGGGAAAGAGAGGCGCCGCCTGAACTCTTGATGATGAACAGCAGCACCGCGGGCGCCGCCTCGCCGCTGCGCCCAGAACGGGTATGTACAGTCGATGCCCGGACTGAGCGAGGCCGGGCTCCGCTGTCCGCGCGGAAGTTGCGGGCGCGTAGGCGCCCCGCCAGGTCCGCGGGCTGCACTTGCGCAACTGCCAGCCCCCGAAGGAGGCCAAAGTCCCGCCTGAGTCTGCGTGGGACACCGCTGCGCTGGACCCCCCAGCAGCCCTCGAAAGTGGCCACAGTTTGACACTTCGCAGCCCCCAGCGATCGGTCGGGGCTACTGTCCTGGAGCCGTCCAGACCGCACGGGTAAGCTGGAGGCAGGCAGAAGGTACGAGAGGAGGTAAAAGAGAGGAGGAGGGAGGCGGGAGGAAGGAAGACGGGACCCCGATGGGCACATAAAACGGTACACATAAAGAACGGGCACATAAAACAAGGACACATACCATAGGATTGGGAAAAAACATACGCATAAAACAATTGAAGGACCACGTGGATTTTCTGAATCGGCGCCGGAGCGCGCCAGGGGCGGCGCCAGAACGCTGCCAAGGAGGGATCTGGCGCCGATCCTGGAAATCCGCCAAATGGACTTCTTACGATGTATGTTTTCGCCCGTGTTGTCATCATGCGCAGTATCATTGCTAGCATGTTAAATGTTAGTATTAGTAGTGCGAATAAGATCATAACTACGATTGCTGCTATTATGAATCTTATTAGTATCACTCCTTACGTGTATGAAACTTCGTAGTATGAATGGCCGTAGTATTACTAGTATCACTCCGATTATGAATACGATTGTTGTTATTAATGTTCAATTGATCTTCTTATGCGTCTTGTTATTATCCATATGCTGAATATTGTGTGTTTAAGTGTATTGATACTTTTGGTTGAACATGTTTTTTTATGAATGCCAAAACCAACTATTTTTACAAGTCATACGATTACTAAACCTCAGTGTTCGTATTACCCGTGTGGCTATCATTATTTTTAGTATGCGTATTACCAGTGTTAGCTTTGTTATCATTAATCGTGTGACCATTATTACGTCCTCTTCTTCTAGTCCAGGCCACGGCCGCCAGCTCGAGGGATGCTGGGAAGGGAGGCGAAAGGGGTAGGGAACGGCGGGGAGACGTGGGCAGACCGTGAAATCCAACGCTGCGAAGAACTACAACACTCCCGGAAATCGCAACCAGAGCCGTAGACCCCATCTTTCTGCGTCATCTCCCGGGACGGATCGATCTGTGATGGCCCCAGTGCCCGAAAAGGGGCGAAAACGTCCGATGCCAAAACATAGCAGCGCCCGAATATCAGCTGGGCGACGATCAGAAGAAATCCTACGCGAGATGACGTTGCGACCTTACGCGGTGGCTTACGCGGGCCGCCAGCGCGGCACGCCACATTTGGGGAGAAGCGGGGCGACGGGGAGAAGCGTCGCCCAAGTGGGGAGAAGCGGCGGGACGGGGGCGGACGGGGGGGAGGCCCGGACCATCCGGCACAAGGCCAACCGCGAGGTAGAGGGCTCGGTCCCAGCCCACTGGCCGACAAGAGACGCCTGCCCGCAACCGAAGCCCCCATCTGGGAGTAAATCGCGCGCGAGCGCAGGCGGGCCAGATCGCCGAAGTCGTAGGCGATGTCTCGCCCCCACATGTTTGCATTGACGCCTTCTCAGACGCTCTGAACGTGCGGCCGACGGCATGCAGATAAGGAGGAGGAGGAGGAGGAGAAACAGGAGGAAAAGAATAATGAGGGGGGAGGTGAACACTAGGGGCACGCGCGGACGTATACCCTCATCACCGGGCTCCCCCTTAACAAGTCAAGTCTTCCAGGAGAGGACAGAATGTTAGCCAGCGCGGGCCCCAACGAATGAGTTTCTAACAATAGACGTGGGGCAATTGTATATATACACATATCTATATCTATATCTATATATATATATATATATATATAGATATGAACATATTTGGTGTAAACCATATGGTGCAATATATGTTGTGCAACGTGCGTGGTGCGATCTGTGTGGTGCGATCTATGTGGTGCGCTCGGTCTTTACAAACAAGTTGACAAACCCCACGCACTTGCAAACATCCCACCCACCCATCCGCAACTTGGTTTGCAAAACCCATGCGGCGGAGATTGCGGTGGGTGCTTGGCGTTGGTTGGTGCATCTCTGCGGCCGTGCTGACCCGCGCACGCTCGCGCTCACAGCGGCCAGCGACGCGGCCGCGGTGACGCTGACCGCAGGGCGATTCCCAGCGGGCACTTCAATGCAAGTCGGTGGTGTGGGCGGGCGCGGTGTCATGGCGACATCGACGACGGTAAACATGATTATGGAAATAGCGACGATGGTGACGATGGTGGCGATGAGCCAATGACGGTACCGATGTTGATCACGCCCACCGATAACGATGACGATGTCCTCGAATCGGCGATGAAGATTTTTGGAGGAATTCGACACGCGCGCGGGGCCGACGCGCGCTAATGGCCCGCGTGGAAGAATCTGATGGACACTATGACAAACAAACAAAAAATACGACGGTCGTCGTCCAAATCCGCAAGACAGCGAGCGCATGCATTTTTGAAAACGGATGCTGCAAAACCGTGTGGTTTTATATGTGTTCGGGGCACTAGTTTTTGAAATCCCTGCGAAAACTATGGTTTTCATGTAAGGGTTTCGGCATGCGCGCGCGACGACGCGCGAACGTGCACTTCGCCCTGCATTTTTGTTTTTGCAAGGGGTTCTTGCGACAGCACTCGCGCAAGGGACTTCGAGCGATTTCGACACGCGCGGGCAAAAGGCCCGCTCGGTAGCACGTTTATGAAATTGTTTTCAAAACCAGAAACGATGATTGACATTCGAATTCGCACGGGCGCGGGCGAAGGCTGTCTTGGGGGAAACACGTGTTGCCGCATGGCTTCGCCACTCTCGATTGTAAAATCATTGGGAAGCGCTGGGTTTTTGAAGGATTACAGCAGGCGCGCGCGACGACGCGCGCGTGCGCACCTCGCCCGGTGTGTTGCAGGGCGACAGTTGATAGTTGGCGCGCAAAGGATGACGGGGGGGCGATGCCGGCCTGCCTGGGATGGTACGAGTTCGGATCTAGGATGGACGATGGGGCAGAATCATACGCAAATTGCAATACGAAAAGTGGCCCCTTAAGTCCCGGGCGGGGGGGGGGTAGATTCTAAATCTTCGACAGAAAAGAAAACCGATGTAAACCAACCGGCGTGGTGCAATACATGTCGTGCGATGTATACGGTCAGCCTCTGCTGTGCAATATATGTTGCGCAACAGATGTGGTGCCATGGTGGTCGTGCAGTATACGCAATGCAATATATGCGATTCAATATATGGCGCGCTGAATGCGCAAACACATAACTACATATAATGCAATATATTTGGTGCAAACAACGCGATGCAACTAATCCCACCAGCCCTCTGGGCTCTGGGCGTAGGTCCTAGAGCAGATCCTCTTCCCCCCTCCCTCTTCCCCCTTGGTTTACCCCTCCCCCTACCCCCTCCCCTGGACCTGGACGGGGGGGGCCGCGGGTAGTTAGAGCGTCCAAGATGGCCCAAGACGGCTCCAAGAGCGCCTCAGAGAACCCAAGATGAGCTCCAAGATGGCTCAAGATAGCGCAAGATCGCTCACGATGGCTCCTAAGATGGTTCCAAGAAGCCCAAAGACGGCCCCAAGATAACTCCAAGTGGCCAAACAGCTCCCCAAGGAGGCCCCGAAGAGGCCAAAATCGTCCCAAAACCTAAGGAAAATCAATGATTTTTGCTTTCTCGCCTTTTCGCTTCCGATGGCTATCCGAGGCCTGGAGATGGCTCCAAGATGGCCCAAGAGGGCCCCAAGAGAGCCCCAAAAGAGCCCCAAGACGGCCCCAAGAGCGCCCAAGAGCACTCCAAGAGCGTTCCAAGAGGGGTCCAAGAGGCGATTTTAGGGGCTTCCGAGGGGGGACGCTAATTAAACCCCCCCTCTTGTTTGATCGACTCCCTCCAAGATGGCCCCAAAAGCGCCCCGAAGGCTCCCCAGAGCGCCTCAAGAGGGTCCCAAGAGGCGCCCAAGATGCCCCAAGGCGCCCAAAAAGCCCTCCAAGAGGCCCTCAAAAGACCCCCAAGAAGCTCCTTCCCCTCCTCCTCCTCCTCCTCCGATTCTTCCTCCTTCTCCGTCCTCCTCCTCCTCCTCCTCCTCCTCCTCTTCCCCCTCCTCCTCCTCCTCCTCCGACGACGACGACGACGACGACGACTCCTCTTCCATCCTCCCCCTCTCGGGGTCTGTGACAGCTTCCCCCGCCCTTTGTTATTCTGCATGCTCCCCGACTTCCCTGATCACCTCAACTCCCCTGAGCATCGTTTCTGGATGGGCTGGTGGGGATACGCGAAGCGTCAACAATTTCTGTTCGCAGCGAGTTGTCCGCCCCACTGCTCGCGCAAACATCCCAGACACCCACCCGCAACTTGGTTTGCAAACCTCATGCGGCGGCGATTGCGATGAGTGCTTGGCGCTAACAGGTGCATCTCTGCGGCCGCGTCGGCCCGCGCATTCGCGCGCAGCGGCCAGGTAGTTTGGCGTGACCGACGCGGCCGCGGCGGCGCAGACCGCTCGGCACATCCCAGCGGGCACTTAACTGCGAGTCGGCGACGTGGGCGGGCGCGTTATCAACGTCGACTATTGTAGACACGGCGGTGATGATGACGATGACGATGATGATTTGTTTTCCACCCCCAGGGCTTGCAGCGAGCTTCGCCTTCTTAAGTCGCCAGGGTTTGAGGCGTCACCAGAGGCGCCCGCACGGGGCACCCACCTGGCCGTGCCGACCCCAAAAAGGGCCAGGCCACCGAAGCACCCCCCCCCCCCCCCCTGAGTCCTGCACTATGAAGTATGTAGCATCACCAGGGGCGCCAGCGCAAGGCACCCACCCGGCCGTGCCGACCCTAAAAAGGGCCAGACCACCGAAGCCGCTCCGCCGACACAAAGCCGTAGATCTCAATAGAGCACATCGCGCGGTCAAGGACGAGCACGCGATGAAGGCCCAGAGCCATTCTCAGAGCGGGGAAGCGAACGATAAAGGGCGGCCTCCTCATCAGAGATACCAAACACTTCCCTCCGAAATTGTTGAAGCCGAGCCATATCAGAGGCCGAAAATCGTCTATGCCCACCCGGCGCGAGCGAAGAGGCCGGACGATCGGGAACACCACCTGAGAGAGCCACGGCATCCGTCGGAAGGGGGGCGCCCGCACCAGCAGAGCCATCAGGGCCGTCGCGGGCAGGCCCGCGAGGCGCATCACCATCCGAGGAACGCACAGGGGCCGCGCCGCCATCAGGAGGGCGCGGCACGCGCGGCTCACCACAGCACACACCAATAGACCCCGCAAACTTTTCCTGACGCCTGTCGAGCATGTCTTGGAGGGGCGCGAGAAGATGCGCAGGCGGCGCGCCGGCATCACGAACAGCTCCTGCGTGAACAGCTTCTGCAGGAACAGCCTCTACGTGAACAGCTGCTGCTTCAGCGCGAACAGCCCCTGCATGAACAGCTTCTGCATGAGCAGCTTCTGCGTGAACCGCCTCTTCGCCAGCCGTCTCGCGGAGCAGGACTGGAGGGAAAAGCCCCAGACAACCATGACGAGACCAGCACGTCCATCTCCATGACGATCAGCATCATGAGTGCGGTGGTCCTCCACAGGACGAAATGGAAGATGGAAGACAGCGCGCATTGCCCCGCTAGGTGGGCGACCGTCACTGCCCATTACAGCAATCATGCCAGCCACCATGTCGCCCCGGTTCCAAGTATCATCGACTGGGCCACGAACTGGCACATAAGGCCGACCTACGTGCATCTGAACCACGACGAGGAGCTGGCTCAGGAAGTCGGTCTGCAACTTGAGCGTCGGGAGGTACTCGGCGCCGGAGAGCTCGAGCGCCACCATCAGCATCGCCAGAGCGGACGCCAGCGGGATGAAACTCCAGAGCGTTCGAGTTGAAGGGAAAGGAGGAACCACGGGAAGGCCACCATCAGGATCATCAGATCGACGAGGAATTTTGGGCAGTTGTCCAGCAGAAGACCAGGGATCTCCATCGCCAGCGCGCCACGGATCAGCGCCACGTGGGCGAGGCAGAGCATGTGCACCGCAACGGCATCGACGACGGCCGCCAGGTCGACCTTCGCCGCCGTCTCCAGGGCCATCCCCGTCATCGCCAGCATCGCCATCATCACCCTCGTCGCGAAGCCCATGCCGGAAGGGCGCAGGCCGCGCAGAAAGCCAAGGAGAGACTTCGCGCTTTCCGTCCGAGCGGCGGTGGCCACGATCCACCGACAGATGAGAATTAACCAATTGAAGAAGATGATCGTCCACACCCAGGTTTGCGAGCTGCGCGAGGGGCGAGACCTGCAGGCCCGCGTCGATGGCCATCTCCACCTTGAAGCGCCCCCGCATGGCCGCGCCGTCCGCAGAGAAGTGAAAGCCAGCGCCCTGCAGGACCTGCCTCCGAATCCAGGCCAGGCGCGAGGCGACGACCATGGCCCGAGCGGGGAGGGGGGAGAGGAGGAGAGGGCGCAGGCGCGCCCCGAAAGCCACGAGGACGGGCAGGTCCCCGAGCCATAATGGCTCGATGATGACGATGATGATGATAATAATGATGATGATAGTAGTAGTAGTGGTGTGGGCGACGATGCTGACAGCGACGACGGCGCGCGCCGATGCCAATCACGCCGACGACGATGACGACGTCTTCGCGTCGGTGATGAACGCGTTGGTAAGCATTCGAAATGCGCGCAAGGCAGACGCGCGAGAGCAGCTCGCATGGTATTATTTGACACGGATCGTGCCACCCCAGCACGCGCGCAAGGGCGCTCGAACGATTTCGACATGCGTGCGCGCGAAGCCCGTGTGTAGCATGTTATGGTTACACCTGAGAAAACCCAATCAGTGGATGATTTGAAAATCAAAAGGACGGATCTTGAGATCGACTGTGAGATCGATAATGACATCGATAGTGGAATCGACAGTGGGGGCGATTGTATGGTCGATCGTGAGACCGAGACTGAAGTCGATTCAATGAGATCGATAGCGAGATCGATCACGAGATCGCCCATGCGATCTCTAGTGAGATCGCTTGTGAAATCGATAGCGAGATCGATTGTGCGATCGATGGTGAGATCGATAAAGAAGTGGGTAATGAGATCGATGGTGAGACAGATCGATAAGAAGATCGACCAAGAACCTGGGAACCCAAAACCTCGCCGCCTCGGCAAGGAACCTAGAACCGGGAACCCAGGAAACCAGAACTGGGAACCCGGGAACCCAGCCAGCAACCAAAATCGGCGGGACACTTTCGCCAAATCCTTCAACATCCACGAGGGCCCCTTCCGTGCGAGTACCGATTGGGGAAAAATGGTGAAAAACCGCATGGTTTTCTGCTGAATTCGCAAGAGCGCGCGCGTTTGTGTTGAACATCCGCGTTGCGAACCCCTGTGTGTTTTGCATGTTTTTCGACCGTCGAATTCAAATTCCTTCCGAAACCAAAGGTTGTTGAAGGATTTCGGCATGCGCGCGCGACGACGCGCGCGCGTGCACTTCGCCTCATTCGTTGCAGCGGGTTCTCGCGGCGGCACGCGCGCAAGGGCGTTCGAACGACTTCGACATGCGCGCGCGAAGCCCGTCTGGTAGCATTTTCTGCAAACATTGAGAAACCGATGGTTTTCTTGCGAACTCGCAAGAACGCGAGCGCATGCTTATTTTTGAAAGTCCGCGTTGTGAAACCATGTGTTCTTATTCCCCAACCAGAGCTTGCCTCTGTTGGGGTCTGGCGGATTCATATGGTTAGGTTAGGCTTGCCGCCGATTTTCGCCGCGCGCCCGGGCGCCCGGGCGCCCGGGGGTGGCCGGGAGCGAGGTTGGCCGCCGATGTTCGCTGCGCGCCCGGGCGCCCGGGGGGGGCCCAAGGGTGCCCGGGTGCCTGGGTGCCCGGGCGCGCCCAGGGGTGCCTGGCGGTGCCCGGGGCGTCCTATTGCCCTATAGCCCTATAGCCCAATAGCCCTATAGCCCTACAACTCTATAGCCCTATAGCTCTATATATCCTTATAGCTCAGCCCTATAGCCCCCCAGCCCTATAGGGTTTTTCTTCTGGTTTCATATGTATGTTGGACATTCGATGTCCACATCCTTCCGAAATCCATGGTTTTTGAACGATTTCGGCATGCGCAAGCGACGACCCGCGCGCGCGCACTTCGTCCCATCTTTTGCAAATGGACTCTTGGAACCTTTTGACTTTTTATTAACGAGTGTGCGCGCGTAGTTTTTTGGAAAGGGTGGCGGGGGGGGCGATGCTGGCCTGGCTGGGATTGCATGAATTCACAGGTAGGATGGACATTGGGTCTGCATCATATGTAAATTGCGATACGAAAAAAGGGACTCATGAAGCCCGGAGGGGCGAGGGTGGTAGAACTTGAAAAGTTGGGTTTGACAAGCTTGGGTTTGTCGGCGCCACTGCTCGCGCACTCATCCCACCCACCCATCCGCAACCTGGTTTGCAAAACCCATGCGGCGGCGATCGCCATGAGTGCATGGAGCTGCCTGCTGCATCTCTGAAGCCGCGCTAGCCCGCGCATGCTCGCGCGCAGAATGGACACATAGTGTGGCGCGACCGACGCGGGCGCGGTGGTGCTGCCCGCTGGGCGCATCCCAACGGGCAGTTGACTGCGAGTCGGCGACTTGGGCGGGCGCGGTATCAACGTCGACTATTGTAGACACGATGATGAGGATGATAATGATGATAGCGATGTTGGCGACGATGCTGACAGCGACGACGGCGCGCGCCGATGCCAATCACGCCGACGACGATGACGACGTCTTCGCGTCGGTGATGGAGGAACTTCGGGCAGTCGTCCAGCAGAAGACCAGGGATCTCCATCGCCAGCGCGCCACGGATCAGCGCCACGTGGGCGAGGCAGAGCATGTGCACCGCAACGGTGTCGACGACGGCCGCCAGGTCGACCTTCGCCACCGTCTCCAGGGCCACCCCCGTCATCACCAGCATCGCCAACATCACCCTCATCGCGAAGCCCATGCCGGAGTGGTGCAGGCCACGCAGAAAGCCAAAGAGAGACTTCGCGCCTTCCGTCCGAGCGGCGGTGACCACGATCCACCGACAGATGAAAGTTAAGCCATTGAGGAAGATGATCGACCAGACCCAGGTTTGCGAGCTGCACGAGGGGCGAGACCTGCAGGCACGTGTCGATGGTCATCTTCACCTTGAAGCGCCCCCGCATGGCCGCGCCGCCCGCAGAGAAGTGAAAGCCAGCGCCCTGCAGGACCTGCCTCCAAATCCAGGCCAGGCGCGAGGCGACGACCTTGGCCCGAGCGGGGGGGGGGAGGAGGAGGAAAGGGCGCAGGCGCGCCCCGAAAGCCACGAGAACGGGCAGGTGCCCGAGCCATACTGGCTTGATGATGATGATGATAACGATGATTATGATGATGATGATGATAATGATAATGATGATGGTGATAGTTGCGTTGTTGGCGACGATGCTGACAGCGACGACGGTGCGCGCCGATGCCAATCACGCCGACGACTACGAAGACGTCTTCGCGTCGGTGATGAAGGTTTTGGGGGAAGAAAAATATATTTTATTCACGATAAAGAAGAAGAAGAAGAACATCAATATTTTTTTAATATATATATATATATATAAAGAAAAAAGTGCGCGCGCGGCAGACGCGCGTGAGTGGATCGCATGGTACTGACACGGATCGTGCCACCCCAGCACGCGCGCAAGGGCGCTCGAACGATTTCGACATGCGCGCGCAAAGCCCGTGTGTAGCATGGTATGGTTACACCTGAGAAAAACCCAATCAGTGGATGATTTGAAAATCAAAACGATGGATATTGAGATCGATTGTGAAATCGATAATGACATCGATAATGGAATCGGTAGTGGGGGCGATTGTAAGGTCGATCGTGAGACCGAGAGTGAGGTCGATTCAATGAGATCGATAGCGAGATCGATCACGAGATCGTTCATGCGATCTCTACTGAGATCGCTTGTGAGACCGATAGCGAGATCGATCGTGCGATCGATGGTGAGATCGATAGAAGTGGGTAATGAAATCGATGGTGAGACCGATCGATAAGAAGATCGACCAAGAACCTGGGAACCCAAAACCTCGCCGCCCTCCGACATCAGCCCGGAACCTGGAACCGGGAACCCGGGAACCCAGAACCGGGAACCCGGGAACCCAGCTGGCAACCAAAATCGGCGGGACACTTTCGCACTTCCCAGCGTGTCTCGCAGGCCGCGCTGAGGCGCGGACACTTCAGTGCAAGGTTCTGCCTAGGACGGGAGCGGTGCCATGGCGACGTCGACAACGGTAGACACGATGATGATAATAGCGGTGATGGTGAAGATGATGACGATGACGACGGCAAGGCCGATGACGGCGCCGATGCTGGTCACACCGATGACGATGATGGTGTCCTCGCGTCGGTGATCACAGGGATCGCGCCCCCCCCAACACGCGCACAAGGGAATTGGAATGATTTCGACATGCGCGCGCGCGAGACACCCTTTGGTCGGATTTGATGAGCAGGTTGGACAAGCGATGGTTGCCGTAAGAATTCGCAAGAGCACGTAGGCAGACCGATTTCGAAAACTGATGGTGCAAAAACCATGTGATGCTTGATGTGCTCGGGGCACTCGATGTTGAAATATTGCGGCAGGCGCGCGCGACGACGCTCGGGTGTGCCTTTCGCCATTATCAGTTGCAAAGGGTTTTTGAAAACTGATGCTTGGTGATCGACGAGAATGCGCGCACAGTTGCTTTTGGAGGGGTAGGGGGGGATCGATTCCAGCTGGGCTGGGATGGCGTTCAGTCATCTTTAGAGTGGACGAGGGGTCTTGGAGAAGTATGAATACAACGACAAGGACAAAACTGGCAACCCCAGGAGGCGGTAGTTTCAAACTCCTGTCTGGAAATATGAATGTATGTGGTGCAAGACGCGTGGTACAATGAATGTGGCGCCATATATGTGGTGCAATGTATGTGGTGCTAGCTAACTGGTACAATATCTGTGAAACACGATGCTGATTAATAGACCTATACGACCACCCTGCGGGTGATAGGGGGGTTGGGGGGGTGGAGGGGCCGAGCAATCGGCAACAGTGGTGATTGTTCTCCTGACGATGCCAGTGAAATTTTGTTCCTCGGAGGCCTGCTGAGGCTCCTCTCCCTCCCTTTGTCGGGTTGCACATGGTGCAAATGCAATTGATGAGAACTGCTGCGACAGCGACGGCGGCGCGTCCTGTCGGCGCATCCCTTTTTTTGTAGACGGACCAACTCCAGGGGCCCAGACGCACCAGTTTTTCGATTCGCTTCCAGCCGCGGCGGCGAGCAGGGCCTCCGAGGGCCAGGAAACCTCGACCTAACCTCGGCGCCAATCTCAAAACGGGACCGGGACCCCTCTCAGGGGCCCGCGCCGGCGTCCTGTCGGCGTATCTCTTTTTATGTAGACGGCCCAACTCCACGGGGCCCAGGCGCACCAGTTTTTCGATTCGCTTCTAGCCGCGGCGGCGAGCAGGGCCTCCGAGGGCGAGGAAACCTCTGCCAAACCTCGGAGCCAACCTCAAAACGGGACTGGCGCCCCTCCCAGCGTTCCGCGCCGGCGTCCTGTCGGCGCATTTCTTTTTATGTAGACAGACCAACTCCCGCGCGCTTGGAAAGCCCGTGCGCCGGCAAAGCCCGTGCACTGCAGCAAAGGCCGCGCCCCCTCACAGCACCGCAGCAAAGCTCCTACCCTCTGGGAAAGCCCCTGCGCTGGCAAAGTCTGGCGCAGCCCGTGCCCGCTGGAACAGCTGCGCCGGCAAAGCCCGGCGCCATCACGATTCGCGCGACAGATAAACATAATGCAAATCATTGTTGCCCATGCGAACAACGACGGTGGCGTTTTCTGGGCCATAGGACGTGATTGCCCACTGCGCCAGCGCCGTCGGTGGAGCGAAGGGGGCGACAGTTATGCGGATGCCGAACTCCAAGGCGACCGACAGCACCACCAACTCGTCCGCGTACTCTTTAGTGGCCAGCTTCTGCACCCAGCGAGTGCACAGCGCCTCGGTGCGCACGGGGCCCTGGACATCCAGGCCAGCAAAGGCTGCGTATATTATGTTCTTCATGTCGGCTCTGAGCAGCACGGCGGCTTCGCCGCCGCAGAACTGGGTCCGCAGAGCTTCCGCCACCACGCCCACCGCCAGCGTCGACACACCGCAGCACACCCTGTGCTGTCAGTTGGCCTGCCGCTCGATGTGCTGGAGCGTTGCCTGGGAAGGCCTGGGCGAGAACGTCGGGCCCGCGTTCGGCGAGGCCTGCTGCCAGGCATAGCCAGATGCACGCACCCGAGGTTCGGCCCGTATACTGCCCCAGGTCCCGCACATGCGCGTCGAACTGCAGCTCACTGCGCGTGCGCTGCGAGTACTGCGTTCATACTTCGCCACCCCCCAAAACTTCGCAGTCCAGAGCCCGGACCGTCTTGGCAGAATGGCGGCGGAACCGTTCGAGTGTGTCGTACTTTGTGCGCTGCGCGTCCAGGCCGTCGAGCAGAAGCACCAGCGCTTGCCGGAACTGGAACGACGTCTGCTCTAACGCACGGGCGATGTCAACCTCGTTGAAGCCCATGTCGATCATCGTCGTCGCCGCAGAGGTCTCAGCCGCGGCATCCGCCACCGCAGCCGCGGGTCCCTGAGCACCCGTCTGCGTCGACGAGGTCTTCCCGCCGGAGCCGCTCTTCCCGCGGACTGGCAAAGCCTGGCCTGGCTTCTTCTTCTGTTTCTGTGCGCGGAACGAGGCCGCGATGCTCCACAGGCCGGCGGCCTTGCGGTCCGATTGCTCCTCGCAGTACCGCGAGACGCAGTCACTGATAGGCGCGACGCCCACCGCGGACAGCATTGCCCGCAGATCTGCCAGCTCAGCACCATCAGGTTCGCGCCCTTCCATTGCGAGCGTGGTGGTCCGGAAGCGTTGCTCGTGCTCAGCCAGCAATGCTTCAAGAGAAGTGCGTCTCCGCTCGAGCAGTCTGGCAAACATGGCGTCTGCCTTGCTCTCGAACTCCGCCCTGGCGAAGAAGTCCTTTGTCAGGCGCGCGGACAGAAAGTCCGTCAAGGGTGGGAGCTTGTGAAAGGCCATAGACTCCCACTTCGTGACGCGGGTCCATGCCACGAAGGCCATCCCGAGCTTGCCCACCGGGTTGGGTCCTTGACAACCACCAAAGGAGACGATGCAGCCCTCGTGCGCCGCGATGCCCTGCGACTTGTGGATGGCGAGCGCCCATGCCAGGCGCAAGGGTATGCCGGCGCGAGTCAGCGACTGCAAGGTCTTGTGCCGCACCTCTGCGCAGGGGACCGGTACCCAGGTCCTTGGGAGATTGTCGAAGCAAGCGGGGCCCTTGTACGCGGGGAAATGCACGACCACGAAGTCAGGAACTGGGCAAGCTGGCTCCCCCCGGGGAAACGCTCCGAGGGTAGAGGTGGGATGGCCGACCCCAGCGAGTGTACTCTGGTCAGTTCGTTGCTCCCCTGCGGAGGCGTACACGATGGCGACCACCACCACCCGAGCCCCACTCATGAGCCCGAGGGGCACAGTGGGGACGTCCCACAAAGAATTTTGCGTCAACATCACCCGCGCCCCCACGCACAGGTGGAGTGCCCTGCGGAGTTGCCGGAAGTCATCGGCACTCTTGTGTAATCCGCGCGGGTCGTTGTGTCGTGCCTCTGTCCTCACGACGACGCCCCCGCGCTGGCAATGCCTGGCGCGCCGTGAAGGGGTGCCCTGGCTGCCAATCGCTTACCGTTGATCTTCCCGACAGCTTGGTTCTCCGGCACGAGAACCAACCCCTCGCGGACGAGAGACTCACCGCCCTGCCACGCGCACGGGTTGGCAGACTGCAGGTCCGAGCCATCCATCGTTTCCAACTCGTGGGTCTTCCACAGAGCGTAATCCTCCGTTGTAATCGCCGCATCTCTGAGTCTCATAATCGACTCTTTGAATGCATCGACACCCTTCTGGCGGTGGATACGACGCAAACGTAAGACGTCCTCAAATTCGGCGAAGGTCTTCTGGCCGGCCAGCGCCATGGCTTGAACAGTCGGGCCGCCCGCGCCCACGCGAGGCATGCCCGGGAGCAAGCTAGTGGCCAGCACTGGCGGCAGTTGTGCGAAGTCACCCATGAGAACGACGCCGATGCCGCCGAACGGGCCCATGTCGCCCAACGGTGGGCAGCGAAACCGCCTGCGCCACAGCACGCGGGCCACCTGCTGCATACGCCTGCTGACGATCTCGAAAGAGGCAGCCCCGCGGCGAGCAGGGCCTCCGAGGGCCAGGAAACCTCGACCGAACCTCGGCGCCAACCTCAAAACGGAACCGGAACCCCTCCCAGGGGCCCGCGCCGGCGTCCTGTCGGCGTATCCCTTTCTATGTAGACGGCCGAACTCCACGGGCCCAGACGCCCCAGTTTTTCGATTCGCTTAGCCAACGGGGCCTCGCGCACGCACGGCACGCACGCACCCGCACGCACGCACGCCGATCGAACGTCGACAATCGATCAATCATCATCATCATCATCATCATCATCATCATCATCATCATCATCATCATCATCATCATCATCATCATCATCATCATCATCATCATCATCATCATCATCATCATCATCATCATCATCATCATCATCATCATCATCATCATCATCATCATCATCATCATCATCATCATCGCCATCATCAACATCATCATCATCACCATCATCATCATCATCATCATCATCATCATCATCAAATCATCATCGGGACACCGACGGGACACCGACGGGACACCACCGGGACACCGGCGGGACACCGCGCGGCCCCGCGCCCCGGTGGAGAATCATTTGGTGCGGCCGCGCCTCAGCCACAGAGGACACCACCGGGACACCGGCGGGACACCGCGCGGCCCCGCGCCCTGGTGGAGAATCATTTGGTCCGGCCGCGCCTCAGCCACAGGAGACTTTCCTCTCGCCCGCCCACGCAGCTTCGCCTCGCCAGCACGCACGGCACGCACGAACACGAAACCGAAATCGATTTCCCGGTAGGGGGGCTCTCCGTTCCACTTCGATCTCACCCCCTAACCTCCGATGTGAACCAACATGTGTGGTGCAATAGTGGTGGTGCAACGAAACGCAATGCATCGCAACGAAATGCAACGCCTTGGAAAGCAACGCGCAAAAACATAGAGCAAGATGAAGCAACACGATGCAAGGCAACGCATTGCAAAGCAATGCAAAACAAGGCAAAGCAGCGCGATGCAAAGCAATGCACAACAACAAAAAGCAAGGTAAAGCAGCGCAATGCAAAGCAAGACAAGACAATGCAAAGCAATGCCAGGCAATGCACAGCAACGCAAAGCAATGCACAGCAAAGCAACAAAACACACAGCGGATCTATGCGGTGCAATCTAACGGTGGGGACGAGCGGCGACGTCGGAGACGGGGCGGCGACGGCGACTTCATAGCCGCCAGACCGACGCACAGGCCCAGACGCTGGCTGGCGACGAGGCAGCGACGGGGCGGCGACGGCGACTGCATAGCCGCCAGACCGACGCAGAGGCCCAGCTCCTTAGAAGAGACAGATAGGAACCCCTAAGTGTAAGCACTGTTTGGGTAACGTTGGAATACCCTCGGGGGCCTGATCGGACGCACCCATGTCGAGGATGGGCGCCCCCCCTCATCGTATCCCCGGGTTGGGCCCCAGATTGCTTGGCCCATCGGAGACCCTACAAAGTCGGAGATTGTGGTCACCATACCCCCCGAGCGATAAAGAAACCTAAAAAAACATAAACATAAACGTTCGATGGTCCGCGTGGATTTCTTAGAAAAGCGCTGGGCCCTCCTCCCTGGCGCGCGGAGCGCGCCAGGGGCGGCGTCGGAGGCGCCGCCGCGGGGGCCCAGCGCAGATCCGAAAAATCCTTGCAGAGCTCCAACATATCATACATGTGCAGTTCTCCCCTTCTTCGAAGCGAAAGGAATACACAAATTGGCAAACGCCGAGGGAGGGGCAGCCGGTCGTCCAGGAAGCACGAGGACCCGAAGTCGATCAGCTTCACCTCGCACCGAGAGTAGGACTTGATAAGGATGTTCTCAGGTTTGAGGTCTGCGTGAATACGCCCGACCACGTTGAGGTCAGCAAGCGCGTGGCGGACCGGAAGGTACCAAGAGACCCAGATCTCCGACGATATGTTTCAATCTGGGCGTTTTTTCTCGATGTGGACCTCCAAGACCGTTCTCGGGTCATCACAGAAGAACCCGGGCGAAGAACTGGCCCCGGGAAAGGGGTCGAAACCTCTGGAGCCGCGCATCCAAAAGAGAACATATCGACGGGCGTAGGCTCTTGGCGGACTGGAAGGTGCCAAGAAGGGAGGTTACAGGAGGTTACAGGAAGAACAACAACAAAATAAACATACGTTTTCGGAGGTCCGCGCGCATATATTTGATCTGCCTTGAACCCCGCCCTGGCGCGCGGAGCGCGCCAGGGGCGGCTCGGAGGCGCCGCCACTGGGGACCCAGTGCCGATCCAAGAAATCCGCACGGGCCTCCGAAGGATCCTTAGACCGATGTTTGTAAATTGTTTCGGCGGTGACCCAAGTTATCCGGTGGGGGGGGAGGAGGGAAGTGCCAGCCGCTAACCTGCCCTGTTCGCCTTGAGCTGCGCCACGCGTGCCCGCCCGCACCAGCACTTCATGCCCCTTCGGACCTGCGCAACCGACCGGGCCAAGTTCTCCTGCGCGGCGGGGGGGGGCGGGCGGGGCCGATGGCCCGCGAGGCGGGGTCCGAGTAGATGGGGTCGAAGGATCGACCCGCATCGCCGATGCATCGGCGATGCATCGCCGATGCACAGGCGACGTCGGCGAGGCATCGGGCTTCCCATCGAGCCGCATCGGTGATGCATCGGCCATGCGGTGCGACCCTCTGGCTCCATCCGCTCGGACCCCATTTGGGAGGCCTAGAACTCTTCGACGGGCAGCAGGAGGATCTGACTTCTTCGAGGGGCGTCGGGAAGATTGACAGCCGGGGCGCGTACCGACGGCCGTTCCTCTGCGGCCCGGGTGGCGGCCTTCGTGGAGGCAGCCTCGGCGGCGCGCCCCAGCCGCTCCGAGCGGTGCCCTGGCCCGAGGCACGTGGGCGTCCCGCGGGGGTCGTCAGGGAACGCGCTGAAGGAAGGCGGTTTTTGACGACCTACCATCGGCGGCGAACCAGAGAGGGGAAGTGAGAAGAAGAAGAATAAGAAGAAGGCCTTCTCAGAAGGCAGGGGGGATTCTCAGGAGCCGTCGCGCCTTCCGAGAAGTTCTCTGCATCTTCGGGCGCGCGTCGCGACGGCAGCCGCTATCTGCATGACATCCGCAAGAATGCAGAGCCAGCGGAGGGAGCGAACGACGCGGCCAATGTCGAGGCCCGCCTCCGAGGCAGCCCATGCAGAGCACGGGATAAGGTCAAGGACAGGCTCGGAGTAGTGCACGCGGGCGGCCAGCTGTCGCAGAAGCACCGGAGAGGGCAGGGGGGGCCTCGGCGAAGTCGAGCTTGGGCACGCGCTGCAAGATGCAGGCCTGACCGACGTCCTCGACGATGGGTGTCGAGGGGAAGACAGGAGCCCGATGCTCGATGAGCCTCTCCGTCACGACGGCTTCCTCGGCCACGATATCAGAGGCATCCGAAGAGGCCTGAACCCCACGAGGAACAAGGCGACGGTTCAGAGAGCTGGTTCTTCAGGAAGCGCGGGGCACGCGGCCGAGCAAGAGCCACTTCAACTTGGGCTCTCTGAGCCTCGGCGCAACGAAGTTGAACCCCCTCGCACCAGCGCTGGAAAGAAACGGCGCGCTGCAGCTCGACGCCGCGCTCCGCGACGAAGAGGAAGTCACGGGCAGCGCGATGGGAGCGACGAACTTCGTTGACCAAACCGACGTCGCTGCGCCACACAGCGAGCAAGATTCCCGGCGAGCAGGAGAGGCGCGGCGACGTCTCGCGCAGCTGCAGCCAGCAGGCACGGTGCCGTTGGGCATCACCATGCGCGACGTCTCGCCGAGCAAGCGCGCCCCCCTCGGCCCGCGGTAGACGGCGCACAGGCGCCGCAGCAACTACTCGTCGAAACCGAAGTGCTTGCCAGCCGAGCGCATCGCACAATGAGATATGTTCTCGTAGAACTTACGAGCATCGTAGTACAGCGTGCCACTGACGAGCCCGCGGCGCTTCGTATGCACCGCCAACAGGGCGTGGATGCACGCCGCTCGCTCGGTCGGCAGCCGCGTCACCAGACTTGCCCCAAAAGAAGCCGGCGTCCACGCTGACCTCCCAAGCGCGAACTCAACGCAGTCGGATCCTGAAGCACGCGCGGAGCCAGAGGCCCAGCAGACACATGGGCCGACGCCCCCCATCAGGAGGAGGCCAGGCGATAAAGACAAACATGGTCGCCCGAAGCTTAGGAACAACGGCGGACTGCTCGAAGCGATTCAAAATGGCAGCAAAACGAAATGCCATGGCGGCAGACAGCTCGCCAATCAACCAATAATGGCAATTGCCCAGGCCCTATCCTGTCCGCCTGCCGAAGAAGAGGATGGCCGCGCGGACTCGCCGCGCACTGATCGGCCCACGGGCCGCCTGGACATGCCAACCAAGCGCGGCCAGCACATCCATCCTCGACTCCTTGATCCAGCGCGGCAGCCACTCCTGAAGAAAGCCTTCGACCGCCCGCGAGCCCACCTGCGGCAACTGATCGACATCACCAGGTAGGATCACACGCAGAGGTTTCACCATCTTCGGCTCGATCATCTCCCGCGCGATCCTGCCAGGGCCCAAGCAAGCAGACTTGCAAAAGACACGCCACTCAGCCTTTGCAGCTGCGCCGCGCCGCCCCCGCGCGGCCAGCTCGCCCTCGAGGAGATCCTCGAACCAGGCAGAGAGAGGGCCGCCCTTTCAGCCAACCAAGGCCACTTGCCGAAAGCCAAAATAAGACAGGCTGCAGGAATGAAGAGCGCGAGCCTGCACGTAGAGGCAATCACGCACCAGCTGCCTCTTGCCACGAGATCCACAACTGGCCTGCCCCCCTCGAAGCGAAGCCTTCCGAATGCGAAGAAAACTCCGCCAAGCTTCTGCGTCCGCGGAATAGCGATGGCGCTGCTTCCGATCATGGACTTCCAAGAAAGGCCTTCCCACCGCGCGAATGGACTTCCAAGAAACGCCTTTTCCAAGATAATGAAAGGACGACGTCGCGTCCAACTGCTAAGACCGAATGCGGGAAGGCTCCGCCAAGTCGAGCCACCTGGCGCAGGCCGTCTGAAGGCAATCCAACGGCTCGCTAAGCTCCGCCAACTAAAGCTGCGCCTCCGACGCCGGCTGCCCCGCAGGCTTGACCGACCCGCCCGAATCACCAGCCTTCTTAGCGACGGGAAAAGGCCGACGAATATCCAGAATCCAAGCTGCCAAGTGCTCTCAGATGTCGCCCAAAGCGCATCTTACCGAATCGCGTGAGCCAGCTGGAGTGCCAGCAGAAGCAGGCGCTGGAACGCGGTGAGCCAGCGAGCGCGACATAACGAATAAATCGCACCCGTTCCCCCCTCGCGTAGGACGGCCAGGATTGACAACGATGCCATCCACCTCCTGGCGCGAATCGCCGGCAGCGAAGACTTGGGCGTCCAAATTCCAGAAAGCTCCAACAATGACAGGCACTGGGAACTGGCCCATGACGATAGCAACCTCAGCGAGCAAGGCCAAGTTCTCACCCGCCAAGCCAATAGAAGTGCCCATGAAAGGAGACACCACCAGCAACGCAGATCCATCACCAAGGTGTATCTTCCTGGCATCAGGACGATGCTTCCAATCGGAAGGGACCGACATGCAACGGACAACTCCAACGCGCGAACCGATACGCGACCCCGCACCACCACGGACAGCCAGGCGCCCAGGGCCAGCGCGGCGAGGAGGGCTAAGAGCTAGGTGGCAACCCTGGCCCAAGCACCACTGACGAGCACCTCCAGCTGACTCGGAAACGGAGAACCTCGTCTCCTGGATGAAGGCGGCATCGAAGCGGCGGCCAGCGGCTGCGTTCCAGTCAAGCACAGCACGCGCCCCACCCCTAGTGTCCTCATTGATAATGACGATGTGCAGCGGAGCCGCGCAGCGGCCCTGAAGCGCAGGAAGAAGTTGATCCAATTTGGGCACCGCGGGCGCCGCGACACGCTCCCCCGAGACAGAGGTCGGCGTCCTGCCCGACACACCGCCAGACGAGGATATCATCCCAGTCAACACTCCGCGGCCGTCGGCAACCTGCCACTTGGCGCCGCCCGAGGCCGCCCTCTCGCCCGCCAACGGCGCCTCCACGACCCCCCCCCCCATCGCCGCGCCACTCAGGAAGTCCGACGGTGCCCGCGCGGCCCGGCCGGACAGGAGCTCCCGCTGAAGATGGGATCCCGGCACGCCGTCACAAGATACTGGACCTGGGCAAGACGGTCCGCCAAGGCCGCCGCCCTCGCACCCTGCCGAGCCACCCGCAAAACGAAACGCGGCCGAACCCAAGTCAGCGCTCGCCGGGAGTAGCTCGGGACGCGCACCCAGCTGAACAAATGGCGACCGAACCCAAGCCGGCGCCTCCGAGGACTGTCTCGGGAATGTGCTATCTAGCGCCGACAGGGGAAACGACCGCGCCCAGCGGCCCCCCCCCCCTCTCATCGCCGCCCGCGCACATGACTACCTACCAAACCACCCCAACCCCACGTGTTTTTTCGATGTTCCCCGACCCCCCCACACTGGAAATGGAAGGCAAATCGTGGCCTTCGGGTTGGGTCGGGGTGGTTTGGTGGGCGGTGAGCACAGGCCAAACTTGCGCCGGCACAGGGCCTTCGCATGCTCCAGGTCCCTCTCGCCGCAGCCCCTCTGCAGCGCAGGCTAGCCGAAGACCTCGAGCGCGCGGGCTGGGAGCTGCGGCGCCGAGGGGCTGAATCCCTCCGCGCCTAACCCCGACGCACCCGGGGCGCAGAAAAATCTGGGCAGCCGCCGAACCCGAAGACGTCAGAGGAGCCGAAGTCGACGAGAAGGAGGGCGGCGACGAAGAGGGCCAGATCGGAGCTGAAATCCCACGAGCGCGGGGAGTAGCCTTTTGCACCACCTCGAGCTGCGCGCGGGATATCGCCGCAAGATTGCCAAGCTCGGCTCAGTGATGGTTGACAAACTCGCCCCACGCATCCTGGGGAAGCAGACGCAACAAATTATGAAGCGACGCCGACGTCGAGCACCTCGGCGCCAACCAGCCCGACATGCTCCAGCGACCGCGCCAGCTAGGGCGCTCCCCACCCGAGGCGCCAAGCGACGCAGGAGGGCTTCACGCGGCTCTAGTTGGCCACTCAGGTTCAGAACAGTAAAGAGCCATTCCTCGCACCCATATTGCCAGGAGTCAGCATATTCCTGGCGCCCGCGATTCACGCTCCAAATCCAACGCGAAGACCACGATCCGAGGTCTTCCTCCAGATTCAGCACATCACGATCAGCGTTACGCTGAGGAGGTGCAAAAACCCCGGAAGAGGGAGCCCCATATCCATCGGTTCGGAATTGGCGACGCCGAAGGCTGGCGGGGCCAAGCGCTGCCAGCCGCTCATCGCGATGGAATAGAAGGTCATCACGGCCGCGACGGTGAGCGCAATACCCCTAGCCAGGCGCGAACCCCGACTCCACTCTGCCTGCCGAAGGCGAGCCACAACTGGCTTTGCACTCGAACGCCATCGTCATCCTGTGGAGGGTCGTCGCCTCCCGCGGCGATCTCGGCGCGCATCTGCGCCAGGTCAGGCCCTAGGCCCGCTAGGGCGGGGGCCGCGGCAGGCGCCGCAGCGGCCGGCGGCGATGGCGCCGCCGGGGCGGCCGCCGCCTCCGCGAGCGCCTGGCCCACAGGCGCCTCGAGCCGCACCAGGGCCTGGCGCGAGCACTGCGGAACCTTCTCGCACGGCGGGACCGCGAAGCCAGAGAGGTCGGGCACATGGACGCGGAGCTCGTCGAGGCCCTGCTCCAGGATCCGACGAACCTTGTCGGAGTCGAGCTGCCAGATAGGAGCCGGAGACACTCCCACGACCTGCAGCGGCTGAGCCAGCGCCACGCCCTGGGCGGCCAAGGCCGCCTGCTGGGACTTGAGCCGCACCAGCACCGGACCCTGCTCCAAGACACGGGCGTCGGTCGCGGAGAGAGCCTCCGCCGCATCCACCACACGCTGGCGCCACCCTTCCTGCTGCTTCTCGGCCTCGTCAAGATTGTGCAGGATGGTGCGCAAACGCAAACGCGCCGCCACGGGCTGTGTGTCGAGCAAACGCTGCTCGATATCCTAGCGCTCGTGGCGGAGTTCAGCCTTGACCTTCTCCCAGATGGCGCCATCCAGGGACGCGATGGTGCTGAGTTCTTTCTCGACAATGGCCAAGCGATCTCGATCCGACGGGGCCTCACACTCACCATCGACGTCCAAGCAGGCCGCGGCCTTGTCAGGAGGGGACTGCTACTGCTGATCTGCGCCTGGCACTTGGCAAGCTGGCCGTCACTGCTGGACGGAGGGCCCTTGTCCCACGCCGACTGCGAGACCCAGGGCGGTTTCTTGGACGGCACCGCGGGCGTGACGTGTCCGCCGAAACAGTCCGACTTCGCCAGGCCGCAAGAGAAACACTTCTCGTCTTCCGCAAAATTGATGAAGGCCTTGTCCGACTTGGGATGAACACAGGCTTTGCAGTGCCACTTCTGGGGCGACTCCTTTCTCATAGAGCAACACTCAAAGAGACTGGGGTTCGCCAAGCCGCACGGTCACCCGAGGACCCCAAAAGAGGCTGCTGAATCCTCGAGCGCCGTGGGACCCCCAAGCGAAATGAAAGACTGCCGCGGACTAGCGGTATCCTTTCAGACACGGAGGCGTGGAGCACACAAAGGTGCAAGCATGTTGAGCAACAATGGCTACGGTAGCAGAGGAGGAGGAAGGAGCAGGAGGAGAAGGAGGAGGAAGAAGAAAAAGAAAAAACAAAGACGAGGAGATGGAGGAGGGGGGAGAAGATGGATAGAACGAGGATGCAGACAGACAAAAACAAACAGGCCACAAAAGATAGAACTGACAAACCAGGTATAACTAGACGTACCAGGCAGACGGTGAAAGAAAGGCAGGCCAGACAGACCAAGCGAATACTACGGTGCGACTGCCGCCACGAAACATGATACATCCAACACATTACCACGTCCGGTCGTGTTTGCGCGGAGCGCTGCGAATCAGCCAAAGGCTGTGGATGTACTCGAGGGCAACGAGTAGCTGCTTCATGATGCGCTGTAGCCTGGTGGGGTCAGACACTTTGCTGTAATTCGTTAAATAGGTAAATACATCCCTGCACCTGTCTAGATAGTTCGCTTTATGTTGGAGCACGTTCCCTTCCTCCCTTGTGTTGAGAGGTTGAGAGGGGCAGTCGAGAGATCGGCCTGCCGAGCGTGAAGTATGGCTCGTCGCCATGCTGCCGGTTGAATCTGGAAAACTCGTACAGGTTGTCTCTCAGGAGCTCCGTCACGATTATGAGGTGCTCCTTGTGGTAGAAGCAGTCGACCATCCGCAAGACGTTCTTGTCGTCGACGTTCTCGGTGTTGGCTCCGATCAGCTTCAGCAACTTGATCTCGTCCAGAGACTGGTCGACAAAGTCCTTCTCGTTCTTGATGATCTTCATGCACACCATCTCTTGCGTGTGCAGGTCGAAACACTGGATGGCCCGCGAGAAAGCAGCAGATCCCAGATAGCTGATCACCTGTTGCAGCTCTTGGGTCGGTGCCAGATCCCCCTTCCCTGGCGCGCAGAGTGCGCCAGGGGCACCACCAGGGGGTCCAGCGCCGATCCAAGAAAAGTAGGCAACCACACGTGAACCCAACAACCTCGGGCAACCGCCGATACGATTTGTTCAACTAGCGCAGAGGTCCCGGCCCCTTCCCCGTGGGTGGCGCTTCATGCCGGGTCCACTTTTGATGGTCCCCTGGCCCGATAACGGGCCCCGGAGGCCGAACTCCAGGCAAAAACGCCAGATTGAAAAAATCCGATCCTCGGATCTCTGGGCCTGAAGATCAGACTCCTGCAAGGCAGGCTGGGGCTCAGAGTCCGAGGGACGCCTGGGGCCGAGGAACCCCGGCGGGGGTGTGGGATAACCCCAGCTGCAATTTTGGGACCGCAGGGGGTAGGGCTCACAACCGGCCGCAGAAAAACTCCGCGCGGGCCACCTAAAAATCATGTTCGGGCAGTTCGTTCCCCACATAATCAGGCTTGCCTAAGGGGTTCTTACTTGGTTAAAAGTTGGTGCCTCGGGAGGCTACTTTGCCCATTCCTCCGAAGTTCCTCGAGTTCCTCTGGTTCTCCGGGTTCCTCAGGTTCCTCTGGTTCCTCGGGTTCCTCGGGTTCCTCAGGTTCCTCGGGTCCCCCGGATTCCTCGGGTTCCTCGGGTTTCCCAGGTTCCCCGGGTTCTTCGGATTCCTCGGGTTCCCCGGTTTCCTCGGGCTCCCAGGATTCCCCAAGCACCACGAGTTCCTCGGGTTCCCCGGTCTCCCCAAGCAACGCCAAGGGATGCCAAGCTATGCGAAGCAATATCAAGCACTGCGCCCATGTAGTAGGAAGTTGTTCCCCTAAGTGGGGTCGCGCTGGGCTCATTTCTGTAATCCGAATCGCGAGATCGGATCGGACCGTAAGCGGACCGCATCGCCAGCGGATCGTACCGAATCGAATCCGCCGACTCCTTGCGGGTCTCTAGGCGTGTGAGACTGTTCCCCCCCATAACCCCCCCCCCGGCACCCCAAAGCGGCAATTTGACCACCCCCCCCTCGTGGTGGACGACCCTCCGCCGAACTCATCCGAGGCGGTCTGGGCTCCCCAGGCTCGGTTGGGAGCCTCCGACGCCACCCCCACGATGGCCCAAGAGAACACAAAGTCGCCGAATGATCGCTTCCAGACGCCCAAGGTGGGCCCCAGGCGGCCTGAGAGGGCGCCACGACGCTCCAAGAGGCCTCCAACCGGCTGCCGAAGCGGGGCCCCAGAGGCCAAAATCGTGCCATTCCTATAAGAAAACGTACATTTTTGGCATATACGCCTTTTCGGCCAACACGGCGTTGACAATGGCCCACGAGGCCGCCAAGACCGCGCCAAGAGGGCCCAAAAGGCTCCCAAGAGGGCCCCAACACGGCCCAAGAAGGCGCCAAGACGGCCCAAGAGGCGCCCAAGACAGCCCAAGAGAACCCCCAGGCGGCCTCAAGAGGGGCCCAACAAAAAGGGGAACCCGAACCGAAAATCCGAGCCTTCCGCCTCTGGAGGCCCCCAAGGGGGCCCAAGGGAGCGGCCGAAGGCACCAAGAATCCGTCAAGACATCCCAAAAGGCCCCCCAGTACGCCTCTCAGGAAACACTAAGATACCCAAATCGCCGAATTCCTTTTCCTTGACCTCCTTCATCTCCTCTTCCTCCACCGCATCCTCCTCCTTCTCCTCCTCCTCTCCCTTTCTACCACATCGCCTGGTCAAACAAAGCCCAACACAACGCATGGCGGAATGGGCGGCAGCCTGTGGGGACGCTTCTTGGGCTCCACGACCGTCCAAAGTCGACAGCTCTGGGACTAGCGCATCGAAAAATTCCCCCGACCCCGTGAAGACTCTAGGCGCGTGAGAATCTTCCCCCCTATATTCGCCCCATGGGCACCCCGAACCGACAATTCCACTCCCCAGGCCTCCGGGTAGCATCCCCCCCGTCCCCCGCCAAACTCACCAGCAGGGGGAGATCGGCCCCCCCTGGCCTCACTCCGGAGCTCCAGGACAACCCCTGAGGCCTCCCAAGAAGCCCCCAAGACAGTCCAAGAGAACCCCGACTCGCCGAAAGACCGTTCCAAGACGCCCAAGATGGCATCCAGACAACCCACGATGCCCCCAGGCCGCCCCGCAAAAACCTCCGAGAGAGCTCCCGAGACCCGGCGATCGCCCCTGATGAAAAAAAGGGACCGGCGGATGTGGCGTAAGCCTATAATCGAAATCGGATCGCTGCGCCCCGCTCTGGCTGGCCCTGGCCGATGCTGGTGGGTCGAGCCAAACCGAATCGAGTCGGAATCGTAGCCCGAGCTGGCGGATCGAATCGCACCGACTCGGATCACAGGCGGTCCTGTTCGTCAACGCTTGGGGCACTGGTGCTGGCCCAAGGCACGTGGCCAGGGCGCCCCCGAGGATCGGGTGTAACGCAGCCTGCTGATTCTTCGACTACGTCGTCCTCACTTCCTGCCGTGAGGGCAGCGGGCCCCATGAGAGGAACGGGCCCTGGACCCCAGAGGGGGTCTCCTCCTCCTCTTCCTCCTCCACAATTACTCATTATGAATACCACTACCCTCCTTCCCCTGATGACGGGTTGGGAGTGTTCGCCCCCCCCCCGCGTATTGTTTTTTACTCACAGGATTCCCCGGAGTTGGGTTTTCGCCTGCATGTTTTCAAAATGCTGCTCTCGCTGAGTCGCCGGCCTCATTTCCGTGCTTCCGCTCGTTCCGAATCGTGCTCCCGCTGCAGCGCTGGCCTCATTTCCGCGCTTCCGCTCGTTCCGAATCGTGCTCCCGCTGCAGCGCTGGCGTCATTTCCCGTGCCATGCCACGGCATGCAATGTAATGCTAGGTTGCGTTCCGCTGCGCGATGCCATGCCTTCAGCTGAAGCTGTGATATGTAGTGCTTAAGTGCCACGTCGTGCTATGCCATGCTACGCTTTGATCTTCAACGCCATGCTATGCAATGTTATCTTCGGGGTCGCTGTGCGATGCCATGCTTTGCGGTGCCAAGCTTTGTGGTGCAATTCTTCACTACGCCACGCCACGCCATGATGTGACATACTACGCTTTGCGGTGCTCTTCTACGCCATGCCATGCCGTGCTCTACAATGCATCGCGTACCCTTTCGGGATCCTTGCCCTGCTCGACATCCGACTATGCGAGTAGCGAGGGGATCTACGCCATGGTAAGGGATGGGAGGGAGGGGTCGGATGTCAGATATGACGCGAGCGCACCTAGCTTGTCCTCCTCCCTCTCCTCCTACTCCTCCTCCTTCTCCGTCTCCTCCTCCTCATCCTCCTCCTCCTCATATTCCTTTCCCTTACAAATAACTTCTCCCTGTCGCACCCCGAGGCCTGTTTTTAGGGCGGGCCGGGCGTTTCGCCTGAGACGTCCTCACCATTTATGACCCTGAAGCTAGCATTGGCAACCGCAAATGGAGGGCGGGTCGTTTTCAAAATGTGGGTCTCGCCCTAGCGCCGCGCACATTCGGTTAAAACATTGCAAGAGCTTCACGGGTTGAGGGCGAATGGTTTTCAAAATGCGGCTCTCGCCTTAGCACCTCGCGCATTCGTTGTAATAAACGTGCAGAGTTTCAAGGATGTCCATGAGCAGCGTACCAATACTGTCAGGTTGAAATGTGGCGTTGCAATCGCGAGAACCATGCTTTGGCATGCTTCAGGGTCTTCAAACGGTTGTCTTCCAACGAGGCAGTTCCCTCAGTGGAAATGAACCCTAGTAGGGGCCTATGAAGAGGGAGCTTGGAGGGAAAGTTGATTCCAACATCGTTGCTCCTCCTCTTCCTCCTCCTCCTCCTCCTCCTCCTCCTCCTCCTCCTCCTCCCTCTCCTCCTCCCTGGAGCAAGCTCATCCACCCCGAGCTGTTATCTGACGGCCACCAGGCCCGTGGCTGCGGGCAAGACTTAAGTCCTCTATCCACAGCCACGGCGTCTTGGACTCTCGGGGAAGGGGTGCCAGAGACCCGAGAGGCAGTGGATGTGGATAAAAGCCTGGCCTTCTCCAGGGACCGGATGTTTGTCCACATCCGCTGCGCTTTGGGCTTCCAGGGACGGTAGCCCGAGGATGCGAGACGCAATGGATAAATCAGTCTTGTCCGCGCTGGAGGGCCCCGGGAGCCCGAGAAGGGCGAAGAGCCTCCAAGAGAGAACCAAACTTTCGGAGGTACGCGCGGATTTCTTGGATCGGCGCTGGACACCCCCTCCCTGGCGCGCGGTGCGCGCCAGGGGGCGCCAGGGGCGGCGAAGGAGGCGCCACCAAAGGAGCCCAGCGCTCGACGTCAACGAGGGAGCCCAGCGCTCGACGTCAACGGCGACGTCGACGTTGACGACGGCCACCACGACCACGGCGCCGACGTCGCCAACGACGTCTGAACGAACGACAGCGACGTCGACGGCGACGTCTGGATGAACGACGATCACGACGACGACGCCACCGCCGACGACAATGTCGCCGACGACGGCGACGCCGATGGTCGCGGAGCTCCGAAAGTTTATGCCGATGCCTTTTTTCTTCCTCGATTGAGGACCCCAAGGCCCGCGGAAAGCCCCGGGACTTTGCGAAGGGCGCGGAGCCTCCAGAGCACCCCCTTGGATGAAAAGCAGACCCGTTCCGCAACCTCGCGGGCCAGGCCCCCGAAACACGGCCCCGTGGATGCACGGCGTTTTTCACGGGTGCCCCGTGCGGAACATGCCCGTGCGACGGCGTATCCGCGGGATCTCGCCCCCGAATCCAGACCGCGAGGGCGCGGGTATGGCTGTGTTCGCCGCTCGTGAGACCCGCGGCCCTCGGTGCACCCCCTTCCCTGCGTGGCGCGCCTCCACGGGCTCCCCGCAAAACTTCCGCCGGCGGAGCCACCCTCGCCCAGCTCCCGCCGCCCCCCAAGCAGACATTCCGCCGGACGACCTATCGCCGAGGGCGGGAGAAGGCGCAACCAGCATCGCGCTGTGAAACAAGACAAAACAAGCACGACAGTCTATTTTTGGTCGTCTTCGGCCTCTGGAGACCCTCGCTGGGCCCCGAGGCCGTCAAAGACCACTCGAGATAGAAAACCAGTCCTGGGGAGAGGGTCGGGACTTCTGGGGGCGCCGCACTGGAAAAATCAGGACATCGCACGTCTGGAATCGAAACGCTGGATCAGATCGGATCGGAGCGTGCATCGGATCGGGCCGCGCCGGCACGAGGCTGGCATCGAGTCGACTCGGCCGCGCCAGGCTGCAGAATTGAGCCGCGCAAGCGCACAGCCGCATCGGATAGCCCGCAAGTCGGAATCGAACCGGATCGATCCGGGCGAAGCCGGTATGAGACCAGATCGGTCGAATCGAAATAGACCCTGCGAGGGGTCCAACCCCCTGGCCCCCTCGGCGAGGAACGCCATCTTTCCGGGAGCGGCCGCCTGGTACCGGGCAGCGATGATGCTGTTGATGTAGATGGGAAACTCCTCTCGGGGGCTACCAGAAGTGCCCCCACTGGCCCAGGGCGTCCCAGGTTTTTGCGCCCCTCTGATTGTTCTCTTCACCAAACAAGGAGCAGGCATCGCTTCGAGGTGCAGCTCCGTGCGACTTCTCGCGCCACCATGGAGCCCCTGGGGCCCTCTGAGCTGGGCCAGGGATGTTCTGGAGGCCATCTTGGCCTCCCAGGAAATCCCGGTAGGACCCAGGGCCAGGACCGAAATCAGCTCAAAATCTATCCTGCAGATCCGCCCCTGGGGTCCATCATGGCCGTGTTTTCATCCAAGATACATTTGTTGCGGACCTGGAGCCAAAACACAGGCCTTCAGTGGCCGAGAATTGTCAAAGATCGCTTCGGATGTCGAACGAGCCTCCAGCCTCGGTCCTCCTCCCCACCGAGGTACTTTCTCTGGCGAGGGACACCTTTGGCCGCACCTGTATCCTTGCATTCCTCAAAGCCGGTGCGGTCTCGCTCGAACACGATCCTGAGGTTGAAGGAGTCGTACACCGTTCCGCCGCACTCTGCAGGGTAGAAGGGGTCGCCCGAGGTCGTGTACCTATTCCCAAAAGCACTAGCATCGTTAAGTTGAAGTTTGTTTGGAGGATTGCTTCGAGATTCGAGGTTCAAGGCTTAAGCTGCTTCCAACCCTCCTGGGTCAGGCTCTCGTTTTGGAGTGAGCACTGCTCGCGCTGTCCAGCGGAGTAGAGGCATCTGCAGACCCAGACGAGACCTCGCGGCTCCCTGGGGGGCTGCCAACTGTCCAACTGTCGCCACTTTCGTGTGTAAGTGAGAGTTCTAGCAGAGTAGAGGTGTACGCAGACCCCGACGACACCTCCAGGGCTGCCGGGGGGTAGCATACGGCGGCAGACAGAAGGTAGCGTACGGCAGCAAAGAGAAGAAGAGAGGAGCTTTCACAATAGCGCATATTGTCTTTCTCGCCCTTAGATTTTCTCACGCTCTGATATGATATCCAAATTTGGATGGAAGGGTAAGCAGGTCTGGAACTCGACGCCCATATGAAAAGTGTCAGACAATGAAATGAAATTCGTATGGGGATCCCCGCGTCGAATAATTTCGCGTCGCCTGGGCCCGAGGGTAGGTGGAGCAGGTCTGGAATTCGCCGCTGGGCAGGTCTGAGTCAGATCGAACCACGAAACCAGATCGGATAGGAAACGGATCGGGTCGCCAGCGAACCGACCCAAAACCCGATCGCCGCGCCCAGCTGAGGCTGACCATGGCCGATACCAGCGGGTCGAATCGAATCGGAATCGCGGCCCCAACCGGCAAATCGAATCGCATCGGATCCCATCGTGGGCGGCAGTAACGATCAGGGCTACGAACAGCCCCTCCAGGTAGTCCCGGCTGGCCTCAACAGGACCCTCGAGCAGTCCGGAATGGTCTCAACACCTCAACCCTGGGGCGCGGAGCGCCCCAGTGGCGCCGCAGGGGGCGGCACCAAGGTGTTGAGACCGCCCTGGGCTACTAAGGCGGGGCCTGCTGAGGTCAGCCCGATCTACCCTGGGGGCTGTCTGTGCGCAACTCGAACTCAGACATACGATGCCCTATTTTTCCGCACGAGGTCACCAAAAGTCCCGATGGCCTGGCGAAGGTCCCCAGAAGCCGAAAACGGCAAAAAAGTTCGGTCGATTTTTTGTTGAGGGACGCGGGTATGTCTGGGAAGCCTCACTGGTGGGCGGCCCTGCCCACTCGGCGCCTGTAGGAGGGACCCCTGTCGCCGCGCTGCTTGCTCGGGTTCGCCAGGGCGAACGCGGTCTGGGCTGGCGCCTGCGGCACCCAGCGGCCGGCCACCCAGGGGTCGTCGGGGTCGTCGGGGTCGTCGTCTTCGTCGTCGCCGTCGAAGACGTCGTCTGCGTCGTCTGTGAGATCGCCACCGCCGTCGACGGCATCGTCGCCGTCGTGCTGTTCCTCCCTCCTCATCCTCCCCCCCTGCTCATACAGCCACCGTGCCACCATGAGAAGCGCTGAAAACGGAACGAAAGTGCTTTTCTGGCCGCGGGAGCGAAGAAGCATCCCGACCTTGATCCCCAAAAACGGGAAAACCAGAGGCACCCCCATGAGCCCAAGATAGTTCAGAAGTTCAGAGTCTTGACTGTAGTCATCGTGCACCAGCGAATCAAAGACAAACTGATCAGCCCACAGAGGCGTGGCCCGTGGACGCGTGGAGTTCACGAGCAGCTCGGGCCGGCTTCCTCAACTGCCTGCCGCGGGTCGACAAGGCCTCCGAGGGCAGGTTAGCTCGGCAAGCGAAGAGGTGGCGAAAGTGGCCCCGATCAGAGGGGAAGCGCCGCCCGCCTCGAGGATCCATTATCGAGGATCGAGCATCGAGCATCGAGGATCGAAGACCTAGCCAAATGGGATTCGTTACCCTGCGGACGCCTGGTGCCGGTTCACCTAGAGGACGTCTCCTGCGCTTGGACTGCAGGCGGGCAGACAACTCTTGCGCTTCTCCCTTGAAAACAGCCATGTTCTGGGCTGTGGGGCCCAGGGCTTTGGCGACTTCTGCCTGCACTTGGGCCGCCAAGTCTTTCTTGGCCCGCTCCCACTCCTTGAGTTCTGACTCGTGGAGCTCAAGCTCGCTGATGTCAGTCATCGGGCGGTCGACGATTGTGAGGGCTGTCTCCTTGCATTCGACGAGCGCCGAAAGGTTGATTGTCAACCCCGCGGCAGCAGCAGAGGATGGATCCCCCGCTGACGCCTGCGTGGCCTCAGACACCTGCTTGACACAGGCTGTTTCTCATACCTTCCTGGCCTCAACGACGGCCGACTGTAAAGCTGCCTTCCCCTTGACTCTGGCTGGCTTCGCGAAGCCACTCTTCACCTTCGAGCACACGTGACGAGCACGTATCCAACCAGGCCTGCACGCACCTGCATGCCACGCCATTCGTGGCAACTTCTTCTTCTTCTTCTTCCAACGAAGGCGCTCGGACTGGGCTTTGCGACGCTCCTCCTTCGCGCAACTTGGCTTCCATCTTCGCGACCTCCTCGCACTCACCACCTTTGGCAAGCAACAGCTCGACCAGGCTGGCCGCCACATAATTACTCTGACTCCGAAGAAGACCCGCTCCCCGACGACCACCACCACCCCAAACGGGCCCACGGCTGACGAGAAAAGCCAGGTGACGACGATGTCCTGGCTGCCGTCTGCAGACCCTCTGTCCAGGGAGGGGGCGGTGACTTCTTCTCCTGTGGACCATCGCTGTCGTCGGGAACATCAGGCGGGCCGAGCGCCCACTTGCCTTGCGGACGCCTGCGAGGGGCAGGGTTGACAACCGGCGCCGCCGAGCAACCGTAGCACCAGTCGTTGTTCGTGAAACTTCAGCGGCATCGGCCCGAACTGCACATCACGTGCTCCTGCGTCGTCTTTCCATCCATCTGCCGGCGACCAACAACGGACTGAAGCCAGGGCGAACTGGCTGAAATGACGGGATGTTGCACGCTGGGGCGGACCAGCGAGCAACTCGGGTCAGGGCGAACTGACCGAATACCGAAAACTGTCGCGGATCAGCGGTATCCACGTGGTTCACCGAGAAGCTCAAAACCTTGAACCAGAATGGCTACGGGGGAGGAGGAAGAGGAGCAGGAGGAGAATGAGGAGGACCAGTGTAAACCTAAGCCGTATCAGCGCTGTTGCAATAAACCCTCCCTCCACATTCCCTCTTCTCTGGGCCCTACAAGAATTAATTTCCATTGCGGGAAATGCCCCATTGGAAAACGAACGTCTGAGGATCCTCAATCGTGCCAGAATACCAAAGCGGTGCGAGTCAACGTGACTGTTGTCCTGTCAATCCTAAACCGTGCGAGAACACCATTCCTGGGACTGCAACATCGCGAATCAGCATGACTGTTGCAATCTGACAACCCCAAAGCTCGCCAGAGCACCATTCCTGGGACTTCGTCCATGCAAGCCCATGAACATGTTGCAAATCATCAGAACGAATGACGGCGGCGACAAAGCGAAAACCACATTTTGAAAAAGAACCGCCCTTCATCCGTGAAACTGCTGCAGTCGTTTCAGACGAATGAACGCGGCGCCAAGGCGAGAAACACATGTTGAAAACGACTCGCCCTCCATCCGTGAAACAGCTGCAAGTGTTTTAAAACGAACGTGCACGGTGCTAAGACGATGACCACATTTTGATCACGGCCGCCCTCCATCCGTGAAACTGTTGCAAATGTTCAGAATGAATGCGCGCAGCGCTGGACTAGAGCCACATTTTGCAAACGGCCCGCCCCCCATCCGTGAAGCTGTTGCAACGTTCAGACTTCAGGGTCATAAGTGGTGGGAAGATCTCAGGCGAAACGCCCGGCCCGCCCTACCAACACGTCTGGGGGGGGGGCTACAGGGAAGAGTTGCTTGATAAGGAAGAGAGATGAAGAACCACGGAGGGACGAGGAGGAGGAGGAGGAGGAGAAGGAGGAGAACGGAAGAATGAGGCCGAGGAGGAGGGAGGGAGGGAGAGAGGCGGAGGAGAAGGAGGAGCGAGGAGTGAGGACGAGGAAGGGGGAGTCGAGGAAGAGAGGGAGGAGGAGGAGGAGGAGGCGGGAGAGTAGTAGACGGAGAAAGGAGGAGGGAGTAGAAGGGCGCGCTTCAGCAAACAAAAAAAGGAGAGAGTAGAAGGGAGAAGGAGGAAGAGGGAGGAGCGAAGAAACGTCATCTACTAAGAGGTTAGCAGTCTTCTGGTCACTAGATACTTGGGAGGCTCAAAGACACAAGAAATACTGAGACCGACTTAATGCATCATGAAGGTGGAGGAGGAGGCGGAGGCGGAGGAGGAGGGGGAGAGGGAGGAGGCGGCGGCAGAGGGGCACAGCTGCGCCTCCGTGGGCGCTGGCAGCACCTGCCGCAGGGCCGCCGCCGCCGCCGTGGCCGCGAGGTCGTGGCCGTCGTCGCAGCCGCGGCAACGTCGAGGCCGCGGCAGCGTCGTGGTGGCCGCCGCGGCCGCCGTGGCCGTCGTGCACGCGCGGGTTCACCAGCGAGGGGCAACGTTAGGGAGGCTTTGGACGCTCACCGCTGCTGAGCACGTGACGCCACCGAGTGCAGGCAGTGGCAGGAGGCGCGGAAAGGTGTCCTATTGCCCCAGCGCGGCCACCAAGACCGCGGCTGACGCAGAGCGAGCACGTGCCTAGGGGACGTCAGGGGGGGGGAACATCTGGGGGGAACATCGAGCGTGAATCGGCGATACATCGCCGATAGGTCGGCGATAGGCCGCCGATATCGCGGCCGTCGTTTTGGTCCCGGCAACGTCGTGGCCGCGGCAACACTGTTGTCGAGAGCCTTTCGGGGGTACCCGAAGCGTCCCGAACGGCCGCTGGGGCCTTGAATGATGTCCCGAAGAACAAATTCTCAACGTCTTGAAAACAAAAAAAAAAACGATTCGGCGCCTGGGCGCCCTCACCGGGCCACGCGACCGTCAAAAACGGCCATGGGAGAGGAGCTGGTCACAGGGGAAGAGGTCCAGATATCCCGGGGTCCACGTTGTGACAAAATCGCGTCATCGGAGTTCTGGGCGTGTGCGGATTCACCAGGTCTGCCGCGCGGCACACAAACGGCCCAAGGAAGGCCGTCGAGGCACAGTGACTCCGACCCCGTCAGGAGAAACAGAGACCACCGCTAGTCCTCCTCCTCCTCCTCCTCCTCCTCCTCCTCCTCCTCCGCCTCCTCCGCCTTCTCCTCCTCCTCCTCCTCCTCCTCCTCCTGCTGCGAGCTGCGAGCTGCGAGCTGATGGCATCTGCATCGAAAACGAAGTTGCCTCTCCTCTCCAGGGGCCATTGCCCTTGAGGAGGGGTGAAGCATAGAGTGCGCTCTAGCTGAAACGTAGAAAGCAACCGATTGGCAGACCTTCTCCTTCTCCTCCTCCTCCTCCTCCTCCTCCTCTTCCTTCTCCTCCTCCTCCTCCTCCTCCTCCTCCTCCTCCTCCTCCTCCTCCTCCTCCTCCTCCCTCTCCTCCTCCTCCTCCTCCTCCTCCTCCTCCTCCTCCTCCTCCTCCTCCTCCTCCTCCGCCTCCTCCTCCTCCTCCTCCTCATCATCATCATCCTCCGGTCCGCCAAAGACGGGCCCGCGGACCTCTCCTGGGGCCCCTCCTGCCTCTTCTGAGGGCCCCAGGGCCCGAAACGGGCCCCAAAGCCCAAAGGCCGAGATCGAAGAGAAGCCTCAAGCGCATCGGGACGGGTGGAGGAGGCGAGCGGACTGAGGAGGCGGGCGGGCGGGCAGGCGGAGGAGGCGTGCAGAGAAGGCGGGCGGGCGGGCGAAAGAGGCGGGCGGAGGAGGCGGGCGAAAGAGGAGGGCGGAGGAGGCCGAAATCGAAGAAAAACCATCGCCCTCGGAGGCGTGCGGCAGACTGCCGAGGCGCGCAAGAGCACGCACGCGCGCGCGCACGACGCTCGCCGCGTCGTCGTCGTCGCCGCCGCCGCCGCCATGGTCGTCGTTGTCCTTGCCTCCAGTATCCTGCAGACGACGACGACGACGACGACGACGACGACGGCGACGACGACGACGACGGCGACGACGACGACGACGACGACGACGACGAGCCTGGGCGGTGGCCGCGGACGCCAGCGCCACCGCCTCCGCGGGCCCCGGCTGCCCGGCGCCCTCGGGCGGCGGCGCGCAGGCCCCTGCCGCGGGCGCGCACCTGGGGAAACCAAAAGATACCGACACCCCCGCGAGCCCCTGCCTGCCCCCACGAGCCCATGCCGTGTCTTTCGCGACAGCGTCCGTGGCCGGCCCCGCCCTCCCCTGTTCACGTTACGATTCGCGCTGGCACAGTGTGGGAATCGGCCACTCCTGAGCATTCCTAGGCGGCGCCGTCCGACCCCCCCATCCTCCCCTGGTCACCCCTGTTGTCGCCCGGGGATGAAAAACTGCCTCTACGTCTCTACTCAACGGACCTCTCTTGGGGCGCGTTCTGACCAGACTCTCTGGGAGAATCTGGCCGTGACGACGAGAGCTCTCAAGGACGAGCAGCGGCATCGGTGCCTCCCCAGACATGCGATGTCCTGATTTGTTCGACACGGGGTCCCAGGAAGCCCTGGCCCATTCCCCAAGGCCAGCTGTTTTATCCTGAGTAGATGTTCGACGGCCCAGCGGCCCAGCGAGGGCACCCGGAGGCCGAAAACTACGAAAAACCTCCGCATTGCATTTTCCAATAAGTTGGGCTCTGGGTCCTCCTCAGAGCACCAGGCCGGCAGAACAGCCGCCGCTTCGGCGGCGCCCGCGGGCGGGCCGTTGCCCTCAGGCGGCGCGTGGGCCGCCGTGGCGGGCGGCGCGTCGGCCAGCGCCGCCGGCGCGGGCGGGGCCGGCGCGGGCGGCGCGGGCGCGGCCGGCGGGCTGCCCTCGGGCGGGACGCGGGCCGCCGCGGCGGCGGCGTCCTGCTCGCACGGGGCGTCCTGCTCGCGGGCGGGGCGGCGGCGGCGATACGCGGCGGCGGCGTGACGCCCCGCGCCCCCTCTTTGGGAGGCAGCCTCTGGGAGGTCTTCGTCAGAGCGACTGAAGGAGACATGTTAAGCCCAATTGACTGACCACTGAGCTGTATCAGGCCAGAGTGGGCCCAGGATTAAGCCAGATGGCCCAGGATTAAACCAGCTTGAACGGGGTTGAACCAAACTAATAAGCGTGATTCAGCCCAATTTAACTAGTTTTCGATCAAGAATGTTGTCGACCAGGGATACACCAGCGCCGATTCTGCATTTTACCTCCCAGGAGTTGCATCCTCCTCAGCGGTGGCGCGCACGGCGACGGCGGCGCCCCAGGCCTACGGTAGACACGCACGAGAGGAGATCTCGCTGTAAGAAATATGTTGGGGCACACTCTTTGTCGATCTTTCGGAGGGACCTCAGGTGAGCCAGAGCTTCTGTGAGTCCCTGAAGTCATCGGGGGATGAGAAGCTGCCGTGGGGCACGTGCTGACAGGCTGATTTTTGATGTGATGCGCCTACTGCCCAGACCCGACTGCAGATTTTTCACACCGTCGACACCCAAAAGTCTCGACCCATTCCCCAAGACCGGGTTTCACCCTGAACCGTTATTGACAGCCCCGAAGCCAGGTAAGGCCCCCGGAAGCAAAACAAAACAAGAAGAAAAACCTTACGCCGTGGTTTTGTCACGACGCGAAGGGGTCTGGGTGCGTAGTCTTGCGGGCACTTGCCGCCACTCTCCCCCTCTCCCCCGCTCCCCCGCCGCGAAACTTGGCCCGGTCGCGTGAGTCTCCCGCTCGACTACCTACGCCGCGCCGCTGCGCGGGTGGCCGTGACGCCAAACAGGGTGTGTCGTCTTGCGTCTTGCGGGGGGGTAGGTCAAGCAACGCGGGGGCTCGCGGCAGTGCGCAGCAGTCGCGGCCCCAGCACCTCTGACCGGTAGAGGCCAGAGGCCCCGTGCCGCGGCACGGGGCCTGTCGGTCCGAGGCGCTCTCGCGAGCTCGCGGGGGGCACGGGTCCACACCTCCAACATAAAAATTCAAAGTGGAGGTTTTCATAATTTTCGGCCTCTGGGAGCCCTCGCCAGACCCCAGGGCCATCAAAAACGACTCAGGATGCAAAACCGGCCCTGGGGAAAAGTCCGGGCTTCCAGGGGGCCCGCATGGAAAAAGACAATACATCGGATCTCTGGGGGGCGTTCCGTGATGCGGCCAGGAGGGGACGCCCGGTTCCGGGACCCCCTCGCGTCGAGAAGAAATCGCGGCGGACGGTTTTATTAGAGTGAGGGGGCCGAACGTTCATTCACTGTCCCTGCGCGCGTGGCTGAAGTGAGGCTCTGCGCAGCGGATTGTTGTTGGTGGCGTTGTTGGTGGTTATTGTTGCTGCTGTTGAATTCTCATTTCTAAAGTATAGTTGTTGTTGATTCCCCCTCCCCAGTAACCAGTGTATATGTTCGACTTCGATTCAAGTACTTATCCTGGGTTTCGCACCTTGCTTTTTTACAAAGAAAAGATGGGTGTCACCGAACTGGGTTGTTTGGCGCCGAACTACAACAACAACCATCATTTTAAGACAGTTCGCCCTTATCTGCTCGAATGTCCAATAACGCGAATTTCCCAAACCCTCGATACCCGCCCTCTTCGTCTTCGATCGCACCCCTTTTGGGGGGTATACTCTTCTTCCCTGCAGGCCGGGCCCCGGCAAGCGGCGGGTCGGCCTCGGACCGTCGGCCTGGCCAGCGGCAGCGCTGATCGACGGGGCGGCCGCGGACCGTCGACCCGACCCCAACAAGGACGGACAGGGGACCGACCACGACGACGACGACGACGACGACGACGACGGCGACGGCGACGGCGACGGCGACGGCGACGGCGACGGCGACGGCGACGGCGACAGCGACGACGACGACGAGCGAAAGCGAGAGCGAGAGAAAACGACAGCAGGGCCACAAGGACACGAAGTAGGCCACGAAGGCCGACGGCGGGGACACGAAGAGAATGCATATGGGACCACCACGGGCGCGAACGAGCGGGAGCCACGAAGTGCAGATAAAGCGGGACCACAGAAGGCAACTATGGGGCCACGTAGGAAGGTGAGGGGGCCACAAACGGCGACAACGGGGCCACGACGGGCATGCACATGGGGCCACAACGGGCGCGAACGAGCGGGGGCCACGAAGCATACATACACTGGGCCGCGGAGAGCAAGGACGGGGCCACTGAGGGCAGCAACGGGGCCACGAAGGGCAGCGAGGGGGCAACGAGGGGCGACAGCGGGGCCACGAAGGGCATGCATATGGGACCACCACGGGCGCGAACGAGCGGGGGCCACGAAGGGCATACAAATATGGGGCCACGAATGGCAGCGAGGGGGCCACGAAGGGATGCGACGGGGCCACGAAGCAAAGCGAGGGGGCCATGAAGGGCTGCAACGGGGCCACGAAGGGCTGCGACGGGGCCACGAAGGGCAGCGAAGGGGCCACGAAGGGCTGCAACGGGGCCACGAAGCAAAGCGAGGGGGCCACGAAGGGCTGCAACGGGGCCACGAAGGGCAGCGAGGAGGCCACGAGGGGCTGCAACGGGGCCACGAAGGGCAGCGAGGGGGCCACGAAGGGCTGCAACGGAGCCACGAAACAAAGCGAGGGGGCCACGAAGGGCTGCAACGGGGCCACGAAGGGCAGCGAAATCCCGATTCCTATGTAATCTGTGAGGGGGTCCTAAGCGTGAGCGGCGACTCCTGGGTGCCTGGGTGTCGGGAGCGCGGCGCTTGAGTACATTGCAGGAAATTCCAACGCAAGGGCGCTATTCTTCAGTAAGTCTCCAGCGAGAGCGCGACTCCAGAGCGCCGGGAGAGCGATTCCTGAATGAATTGTAAGGAAGTCCCAAACGAGAGCGCGATTCCATAATAAAATGCGAAGGAGTCTTGGGCGGGAGCGCGGGTCCTGGCTAAATTGTGAGGAAGTCTCAGGCGGGAGCCGCTGTTGTTGTAAACCGGGGGCCAACGACACAATTTGACCCTCAAGACTTTCCCTGATGAAAAACAAGGTGCGAGCCCCGGGAAGGGCACTTCAATCGGAAAAAACAATGTGCACTGGACGGGGAGTATCAACAGTAACTATTCTTCAAAAGTGAGAATTCAACAACGGCTCCCGCCGGAAATTTCCTCACAGTGTACTCCCAGGAATCGCGCTTTCGCGTGGGACTTCCTCGCAATATATTCAAACGCCGCGCCCTCGACAGTCAGGAATCACGCTCTCGCTGTGGATTTCCTCGCGATTTATTTGGGAATCGCGCTGTCGCTCGAGACTCCCTCGCGATTCATGCAAAACGCATGCTTCAGCAACCCGCCTGCTCGACCCAGCCGCCTGGGCTCGCCTTCCCGACCCGCCCGATAGGGTCTGCCCGCTCGATCTGCCCGTCTGGTTCTGCCACGTGTTTTCTGTTCCTAGCCCCCCTCCTGCTACTCTCTCTCTCTCTCGTGCTCCATCCTCCTCCCTCCACCTTGTCCATTCCCTCCATCCGTCCTCTCTTCCCCTGCCTTAGGGGATGCACGGAATACACGTTGCAGGTAAGAAAGATACATCCGTAAGGGGTACGGTCGAAGACGAAGAGAGCGAGCATCGAGGACTTAGAATATACGTGCTGGCTGGCACGCGGGCAAATAAGAGCGAACAAAATTGGAATGTTTGTTGTTGTTGCTGCTGGTGTCATTGATGTTGTTGTTGCTACTGATGGTGTTGTCGTTGTTGGTGTTGTTGCTGAGGCTGTTGCTAGTGATGTTGTGGTTGGTGCTGTTGCTGTTGGTGTCGCTATTGATGTTGGTGTTGTTGTTGAGTTCTCATTTCTAATTAACAAATGGTCTTGATCCCCCCCCCTCCGGTAACCATTGCATTTGTCCGTTAAAGTGCTTCTCCCGGGGCTCGCACCCTGTTTGTCACTAAGGAAAATGAAGGGTCACCAAACTGCATTCTTAAGCCCCGAACTACAACAACAATAATTTTAAGACTGTTCGCCCATATATGCTCGAGTGTCCAATAACGCGCATTTCCCAAACCCTCGATACCCGCCCTCTTCGTCTTCGATCGCGCCCCTTTTGGGGGGTATAACTTTCTTCCCTGCAGGCCGGGCCCCGGCAAGCGGCGGGGCGGCCGCGGACCGTCGGCCTGGCCAGCGGCAGCGCTGATCGGCGGGGCGGCCGCGGACCGTCGACCCGATACCAAGAGGGACGGACAGGGGACCGACAACGACGACGACGACGACGACGACGACGACGTCGAAGACGACGGCGACGACGACGACGACGGCGACGACGAGCGAAAGCGAGAGCGAGAGAGAACGACAGCAGGGCCACGAAGGGCACGAAGTAGGCCACGAAGGGCGACGGCGGGGACACGAAGGGAATGCGTATGGGGCCACGAAGAGCGCGAACGAGCGGGGGCCACGAAGTGCAGATAAAGCGGGGCCACAGAAGGCAACTATGGGGCCACTGAGGGTAGCAACTGGGCCACGTAGGACAGTGAGGGGGACACAAATGGCGACAGCGGGGCCACGAAGGGCATGCACATGGGGCCACAACGGGCGCGACTCCTGGGTGCCTGGGTGTCGGGAGCGCGGCGCTTGGGCAAATTGCAAGAAACTCCAACGCAAGGCCATTCTTCAGTAAGATGCAAGCAAGTCTCCAGCGAGAGCGCGACTCCAGAGCGCCAGGAGAGCGATTCCTGAATAAATTGTAAGGAAGTCCCAAGCGAGAGCGCGATCCCTGAATAAAATGCGAGGAAGTCTTTGGCGCGAGCGCGGGTCCTGGCTAAATTGTAAGGAAGTCTCAAGCGGGAGCCGTTGTTGTTGTAACCCGGGGGCCAGGGGCCCAGTTTGAGCATCAAGACTTTCCCTATCAAAAAACAAGGTGCGAGCGTCGAGGGGCACACTTTGATTGAGAAAAACAGTATGCACCGGTGGGGGGGATCAATAATAAGTGTTCTTCAGAAATGAGAACGCTGCAACAACAACAACAAAACAACAACAACAACAACAACAACAACAACAATCATTTTACCCGAACGCTCAGTGTTCTCCCCAGTGCCAGGGTTTTCATGCGACGCCAGCCAATACCCCCACTTCGTGGGGGGGCAATGCAAGCTCTACCAAACATCCACACGACTCTCGGGAACCACCCACACCCAGCTTCCCGCCCTATGACGTCAGGACACTTCACTTCGTGGCGCGCGGACGATCGTGGATACTACACTGGCGTGGAGTACACACCCGCAGAGGTTAATCACTTGTTTGGGCCCCGCATGTGCCCCGCATCGTGCATTTGTTGCGCATGATATGAGAGCAAGACAGAGAGAGAGAGAGAGCAAGACAGAGAGACAGAGAGAGAGAGAGAGAGAGAGAGCAAGACAGAGAGCCAGAGGAGAGCTACGGTGCGATTCGTGTGATTTTATGATGCGCGGTGCTAAAATTCTTAAAAACCCAATGATTTTTGGAGATTTCGGCGTGCGCGCGCGAAGAAAAAACGAATATGTCCCGCATGGTATTATTTGACAGGGATGATGGCCCTGGCAGGTGCGCAAACGTTGTCGCAGAAGTTCGAAAAAGTTGCTCGCAAAAGCCCGTTTGACAGAATTGTTTAAAAAGTGTTGGTTTTCCTACGAATCCGCAAGAGCGCGCGGAAGAACATTTTGACAATTTTTTCTTAAAAAACCATTGGGTTTTTGATGTTTTTATGTTAAAATCGCTACGAAACCTAAGGTTTTGGAAGGATTTCGTCTTGCGCGCACGAATGTCCACTTTACCTTATTTTTTGCAAGGGATTCTTGCAATTTGATCAAGTAAGAACAAGAATTTTCATTTTATAGTGTTTTTTGCAAGGGAAAACGGAGTACAACAAAACAACCGGATCCGGTAATAATTCACTTTTCTGAAGCTTTCGCTAAAAAATGATGAAAATGTAGCTGCGGCCTAGGTTTTGGAGG